GTATTCGTGGCAACAGAAGAGAGCATCCCTTTTTACCTCTTGGTATGTCGCCTTTTCGTCTTAAAAAGATTGAAGAGACCTCGCTCCTCGCAAGAAAGGACAGAGCTCCCCTAGCTTCCAAAAAGAAAGATTTTCTACCTCATCCTCCACAAGAAATGACTGAGAGCTTCCTCCCATGTAATGAGACGCAAGAGAGCTCCATCTCAGCCCAGCAGGCAGGCCCCTCCAACTTCACGAGAATTCAAAGGTCTCCGTTTACCCATCGGTCGGAAAGAAGATAACTCCTTTCTCTCTTCATAACGGGATTGGATCTTGAGCATTTCTTTTACCTTTTCAAAAGATGGGAAACAGCATACGCACAAGAAGAAGAAACCTCCTTTCTTTCTTGGCAGTGGAAAGAGATCCTGATTATTTTCTTTACGCTCAAGAAGAAACGGTAGAGATTCCCACACCCCTCAACGAAAACACGGACACAGCCCCTCCAAGTCATTCAGCTGATTTCTAGCAGCGAGCTCCTCTACCTCTTGGTAGGTCTCCATGTCCTCTGAAGAGAATTGAAGGGAGCTCGCTTCTAGTCGAAGAAGACAAGGCTCAAAGCATCTCCAGTTTCAAAAAGAACTGAGGCTGCCTCTTAGTCGACAAGAAGAGAGGGGAGCTCCTTGTCGTCCCCTCTTCCTCCTCAAGGGATAGAAGAGAGATAGCTCTCAAGAAGTGAGGGCAGAGCTCTCTCAATCGACAAAAGATCCCCTCAGCCTTCAACAAGACATGAGCAGCCCTCTACCCCACCCTCTGAATCAAGAAAGAAACCCTTCTAACTTCACGAAAAAAAAAGAAAACTCCGGGTGCCGTTTAGTCGACAATAAGAGAGAGGAGCTCCATGTCGCCACCACTTCCTCTACAAGGGATAGAAGAGAGATATCTTTCAAGAAGTGAGGACAGAGCGTTCTCATTCCTGGTTATTCTTGGAAAGAGCAGATTTCTCTAGAGGAGATTTCTTATACCTTTCTCAGTCGCCAGCCTTCAAAAGAAAAGACCTCATGCTCCAAAGCAAGAAAACAGTCCCCCCAGGTTGTTCGTGGCAAAAGAACAGCGCATCACGAGAAACAAGGGAGCTCCGACTGCCTCTCTGGCGATAAGAAGAAAACTTCTTTCTCTGTTCGTCAGGAGCGACAGCTCCTGAACATCTCCTCCTCGAGAAAAAACTTGGAAGGGAGCTTACGATCAGGAAGGAAGGATAGAGCTTTTCCAAATTTCAAACCTTGACAAGAGAAAGGCCGGTCCTCCCCGCGGCCTTCAAAACGAAACGAGAAGCCCAAGCCCTCTACCTTACCCTGCTGTGAAGCAGGAAGAGAGCTCACTCCAAGTTATTCTTGGTAAGAGACGAGAGCTTTAATCGAGCAAAGAGAGCCTTTACCTCTTGGTAAGTCGCTTTTATGTTAAGAAGATTGAAGAGACTTCGCTCCTAGCAAAAGAAGCCAGGGCCCCTCTTGCTTCCAAAAAGAAAAGTCGTCTTCTACCTCATCCTCCACAAGAAATGATTGAGAGCTTCCTCCCATGTAATGAGACGGGAGAGAGGTCCATCTCAGCACAGCAGACAGGCCCCTTCAACTTCACGAAAAACAAGAGAGCTCCATCTACCCCTTCGCCGGCAAGAATTTTTTTTTTGAAGTTCTGCAAAACACAGATAAAATCACAGATCACAAGGGTGTCACCCCAAGAATGTAAAGACTCAGATCCCAAAAACCCAGATCGCACGGGGTGTCCCCCTACAGGTTAATCACAGATCGCAAGGGGTGTCCACCTATGGTGTTGTAAAAACTCGAGATCCCAAAAACACAGATCGCAAGGGGTGTCTCCCTAAGGTTTTGTGAAAACTCAGAACCGAAAACCACAGATCGCAAGTGGTGTCCCCCTAAAGGTTGTTATAACAAATAAGTTCCGAAATCACAAATCGCAAGGGGTGTCACCCTAAAGGCTTTTGCACCAAAACAGATCCCGAAATAATAAATCGCAAGGGATGTCCCCCTAAAGGCTTTCGCGCAAGCTAGATCCCAACATGACAAATCGCAAGGAATGTCCCCTTAGGTTTTGTAAAAACGCCGATCTCAAAATCACTGATCGTGAGGAGGTCCCCCTACAGGGGTGTCGCCCTAAAGTTTTGTGAAAACTCAGATCGGCAAATCACAAATCGCAAGGGGTGTCCCCCCTAAGGTTTTGTAAGAACTCAGGTCCCGAAATCACAGATCGCAAGGGGTGTCCCCCTAAAGCTTTTTATAACAAATGAATTCCAAAATCACAAATCGCAAGGGGTGTCCCGAGAAAGGTTTTGTAAGAACTCCGATCCCGAAATCACAGATCGCAAGGGGCGTCCCCCTAAGGTTGTGTGAAAACTCAGAACCGAAAACCACAGATCGCAAGTGGTGTCCCCCTAAAGGTTGTTATAACAAATAAGTTCCAAAATCACAAATCGCAAGGGGTGTCCCCTAAAGGCTTTTGCGCTAAAGTAGATCCCGAAATACCAAATCGCAAGGGATGTCTCCCTAAAGGCTTTCGCGCAAGCTAGATCCCAACATGACAAATCGCAAGGAATGTCCCCTTAGGTTTTGAAAAAGCGCCGATCCCAAAATCACAGATCGTAAGGGGTGTCCCCCTAAGGTTTTGTGAAAACTCAGATCCGCAAAACACAGATCGCAAGGGGTGTCCCCCCTAAGGTTTTGGAAGAACTCAGGTCCCGAAATCACAGATCGCAAGGGGTGCCCCCCTAAAGGTTTTATATAACAAATAAGTTCCAAAATCACAGATCGCAAGGGGTGTCCCCCTAAGGTTTGTGAAAACTCAGATCCGAAAACCACAGATCGCAAGGGGTGTCCCCCTAAATGTGTTTGTAACAAATAGTTCCAAAATCACAAATCGCAAGGGGTGTCCCCCTAAGGTTTTGTAAGAACTCAGATCCCAAAATCACAGATCGCAAGGGGTGATCGCAAGGGGTGTCCACCTAATCCCTGCGAGCCGCGACCGAGCAGAAAGCCTGTAAATACCGCGTTAAAACAACGGCCCCGGCCAGGGATCCCACACATCTGCGGGCAAAATCTGGCGGAAGTGATCCGCCACCGAGCAAAATGCCTGTAAATACCGCATTAAACAAAGGGCCAGGGATTTCACACATCTGTTGTCAAAATCTGGCGGAAGTGAGCAGTCGGTACTTCCGCCAGATTTTGCCAACAGATGTGCGAAATCCCTGGCCCTTTGTTTAATGCGGTCTTTACAGGCTTTTTGCTCGGTGGCGGATCACTTCCGCCAGATTTTGCCCGCAGATGTGTGGGATCCCTAGCCCTTGAAGTGGTGGGCTGAGAGGGTGGTGGAGGGGGTGTGAAGTGGGAGGAAGGGTGGGTGGGGGGGGGGGGGGTTGGGACGATGGGTGGGCGCTGAGGGTCGGTGGGTGGAAGGGGTGGGTGAGGGAGGGTAGGTGGGGGGGGGAGTAGGAGGGATGGAAGAGACAGTGGACCCCCCCAGGATTTGGTTTAAAATATTTATATTATTTAATTCCCGGCCCCAATTACATAATTCAAATAATTTAAATATTGGGGGAGGTTCCCGGAGGGCTCCGGATTTAATTCTTTAAATTATCAACTCTCGGCCCCAACTAAATAATTTACATAATTTAATTAATTTACATAAGTTAAATACGTTAAATAATTTAAATCCTGGGGAGGGGTTTCGGGGGGGGTCCGGGACCCAGGAATTAAATAATTTCAATAATTTAAATATTGGGGGAGAGCCCCGGGTGGCCCTGGATTCAAATTATTTAATTATTTAGTCCCGGACCCCCGCCCGGGACCCCTCCCCCAGGATTTGAATTATGTATATTATTTAAGTACCGGCCCCAATTAAATAATTTCAATAATTCAAATCCGGAGCCCTCCGGGGACCTCCCCCAATGTTTAAATTACTTAAATTACTTAATTGGGGCCGGGGATCAAATAATTTAAATAATGTAAATCCTGGGGAGGGGGGTCCCGGGGGGGTCCGCGACCCGGGAGTTAAATAATTAAAGTTATGTAAATATTGGGGGACAGCCCCGGGTGGCACCGGATTTAATTTTTTGAATTATTTAAATCCTGGGGTCCCGGACCCCCCCCGGGACCCCTCCCCCAGGATTTAATTTATTTCAAATAATGTAAAGTATTTAATTCCCGGCCCCAATTAAATATTTTAAATAATGTAAATCCGGATATTTAAATTATTTACATTTTTTAATTGGGGCCGGGAATTATATAATTTAAATATTTTAAATACTTTAAATCCTGGGGAGGGGGTCCCGGGGGGGGGTCCGGGACCCGGGAATTACATATTTAAATAATTTAAATCCGGGGCCACCCGAGGCTCCCCCAATATTTAAATTATTCAATTCCCGGGTCCCGGACTCCCCCGGGACCCACCTCCCCAGGATTTACATTATTTAACTTATTTACTTCCCGGCCCCAATTAAAAAATTTAAATAATTTAAATCCGGAGCCCTCCGGGGACCTCCCCCAATATTTAAATTATTTAATTCCCGGCCCCGACCCCGCCGGAAACCCGAATAGGGTTTATTTGGAAACGGCCTCTTGTGTACATAAAGGGATTTAGAATGGTGTTTTTCCTCACTTCTACACAAAAGGCAGCTTCCAAATAAACCCGGTTTAAGCCGCACCCCCCCCCCACACCCTCCTCAAACCAAAAAGCAAAACAACACAACAAGAGACACCGAAAACGAGGCGCACAATCACGTAGTGCGAATGTGCGCAGGCATCTTACTTATACCATGATAGTCTGCAGGGCGAGGTCTCACAGATGCTTGCTAGGAAATTCGACACTTTTCGCATGTGCATGAACACGGAGGCTTGCACAGTCTTGTGTTGCTTCTCAAAGCACAAGCTTCAAACAGCAGAAAAGTCCTCCCAGTTCCCGAACCCGCTAGCAAAACATTCGCTAGACTGCGCACGCGATGGGCCGCGGCATTACTTGGACAGAATCAGATCAGGTGACAACTGCTCGATGTGCTTGTTGCCTTGGCGATACAAAACTCGGCAACTGTCGGCGACTCCGCCGAAGGCTGAGCCCCTCAGGTCCTCACTTTCCATGGCCACGGCCAGCTTTGGAGAAATGAGTGGTTCTACGTTCCCTTCCGGCATTTTCAGGTTGGTGAAGTCCTCCGTTGGAGAAGGCGATGTGGCAATGTGTGGTGTAATGATGCCGTCTGTGCGCAACCAAGGCTCGAATTTTACCAAGGTCGGGTCGTCCAGATGTGCCCTGTGCACCATCCATATCATCCAATTACCGATTTGGGATGATTTGCTGGCCACTGCCTCAGTTCCATTCACGAGGCACCGGGACTCCAAGAAACCTCCCGACCTCTTTCTCCAGGTCATGGAGTTCCCCGGCTTCGCTGCATGCCAACACCCGCCTGAGCTCCAAAGCCAGCTGGGTAGCTCTATACTCGGAGCCCTTTCCATCTGCAGCCCAGCGGCTTCACAAAGTCCTGTCATGCTAACAGGAGCGCGGTCCATGCATATCTGCATATCTGTTGCTATTTGTTGCGCTCCTCGTCAATAGATTGCGCCCATTGGTCCGCAGCTTTCCAGACCTGGCAAGCAAGGAGAAGGCAAGCGGGGCCAAACCGTGGCAGTCGGCCTTCGCCGTGGAGGAGGAGATCACTTCCTCGGTGGGCGCCTGCCGGGCCCGGCTCCCTTTTCGTGGGGGGCCCTTGGCTTGCGCATCCTGCGGGCCTCGGCCTGTGCCTGTTCAACCTGGGCAGCGGCGAGGGCGAGGGCGGCCTCGCGGTCCAGGCCTCACACTCCGACACAGCCGTCATCGCAGGCGCAAAAGTGCAGAGGCGAGCGCTGCTACGTCGACGCCCCAAATTCGCCTTAAAGACTTTGGAGCATCTCAAACTCAGAAGGCAGGACCACTCCCGCCTTCTGCTCGTCACAAGCTTTCTTCAAGCACCAGCCCAGGCCCATGTCCTCCAAGACCTTTTCGATGGTAGCCTCAGCTTGAAACCGAACGAACTCATCGCACATCTTCCGACATTGCGCACAAGAAGAGCCGAGGGTCGCAAGCCTCTGTGCAAGTTCGGACCTAGGCCCAGGCGACATCCGTCCTAGACGGCTAGACATCGATCCATATAGTTATCAGAACTTGCGTGATTTCACGCCATCCCAAGGTGCGAGACACCAAGCACGAGCTGGCCGATGTCTCCGCCGTCGTAGTTTGGACAAAAATGGTACAATGTGCCGTGGCGTACATGCTAGTATGAAGAATTCCTGTCCACCGGCAAGTGCTGACAAGTGTAATCATCACCAGCAAAATCCTTCTTCCCTGCTGCCCTCTGCTGAGACCGGCCGAGCGGAGACGTAAATGCTACACTTGATGGCGGGTTGCAAAAAGCTACAAGTAACAGGTCCGTTGCATCGAAACACACATCAGCAATGCTTGTCATCTTGACTACAAAGGCCGGTGCACGCTGATCATTGCAGTTCATGTCCGACAGAACCACACCATCCAGAACCTCACACAAACATCTAAACCAACTGTGTTCCGATTCACCTTGGGATGCTTGCACGTCAAGCTGAACTCAGAATCGGACCGTACGTATCCGTGCAATTCTGGAACAGTCGCCGCCAAATATGTCCTGCTCGACTGGACCGAGCCATAGGAGAACCGCATGCCGTGCGAGCAAAGATAAATGAATCCGCTAGAAAGCCAGGATGCTGCCAGCTGCTGGCCTCCAGCCCAAGCCAAACTGACATGGTGGAGGCTGTGCAAGCAATTTCATCTAGGCTGCGATTGTCACTGGTTTTCGCCACCATCATGGTCATGAAATCGCGTGCATCCTCCAGTGTCCTAGGCTGTCACTGAGGTGACTGAGGTCTGTCAGTAACAATTTGGCCAAGCAAATGTAAGACCACGAATCTTACCCACCGAGGTGCTTCAAGTAGTCAAGCTCGGCCATCGGCCTCAGTTCGGGTGCAACTCAAAGGAATCGAAAAAAGAAGAAGGTTGTGCTGCTGAGGCGGAAACAGCTTTACTTTGCTGTTGCAATAGAGCTCTACCTTCTCTGCCGCAATTTCCATGCGGCCTCAGCACTCAGAGAACAGTGTTTGCAGCGTGAGCTCTTCAGCGAATTCTTGCGAGGTGCTGAGCACTCCATCGATTTTGGCCTCCATCGCGAGATTTACTACCCTCGCCTACCTTCCTGAATCGGTTTGAGCCTACCCCGGCGGAAGGCCAAAAAACACGCCGAAGGAATGTCCGCCTTCTTCGTCGCACAACAGCAAAAGCCCTTACACCAAGCTGTTTCGAGAGCGAGCCAGAATCCCGACACGTGAGTTTGGCGAAGCAATATGAGCTTTACTGTTTGGGGCAAAAAACCGTTAAAAGCCAGACGATTGCAGCGCAGCACTGAAACCTCTGAAAGTGGTCGGGGTTCCGGCGCATGAAGCGCCGAGAAAGTCCTGACGGTGTAGTCTGGGACGGCCGCCCGGACAGTGGTCTCCCCTGAGGCGCGTCTCGGGCCGGGGATGCTTTCAACTTCAAGCTCATGGCGGCCTAGGGCCGCGGTGTCGCGACAGTCCCTGCTGGGAAGCACGCGCGCGAGGCGCCAGCAGGACAGCGGCAGTAGGCTCGGCAGGTCAGCCACACCATCCGCATGTCGCACACTTGGTGCTACAGGCGGCAGGGGTGAACTGCCTCCTGCCCGTGGAGGGGCCACACGGGGCTGCTGTAGGAGTGCGCGACCGTCGAGGCGTGCTGGATCTACGCATGCTGGCCTCGCGACGGTCTAGGGAGGCGCCGCGGCTGCCCGGAACACGTAGCAGGCAGGGTTTGTTTATCCTGGGTTTCCCTGTGCCCCAAAGCGGAGCATGGCACGAAGCGAACTAAAACTGTCCGAACGTTGTCGAGCCTCGGAACAGTTACGATTACAGGCCCAAGGCTCAAACAAGGTTTTCTCACGAAAGCCTAAAGAGCGCGTGTCGGACAAGTTTTGCATCGGATGTAGGACCCGTCTGGCCTGCGGAGGCCCATTTAAGTTCACCATCCGAGAGCTGCGGGCGGCAGACGGCAAAGGCCCATCAGGGCGAGAGCGTGCAGCGTGCGGTTCACTGCATCGTCAAGCGGTCCTGGGTTGGTGGTTTCGCCAATGCGCACGCCGAGGATGGGTGCTTGGGTGGCTCCGCAGGCTCTGTGGGCAGTGCAAACGCGCTGCATTGCTTGTTAAGTCCGCACCAGGACGCTTGTTGTGACGGTCTCTGCACATCCAAACAAGGGAGGCTGTCAGTAGAGCCCGTACCCGGACGAGCTGTCGGACAATAGAGTCGGCGTTCCAGCGGCGCCCTCCGACCCTCCACAGCAAGGACGAAGAGGCGTTGGCCGCCGCCGTGCTGCAATTCCGGATACGTTGCGCGCTTGCGGCTCTCGGCCATTCGCAAGGTGACGTGGGGAGTATGGTCCGCTCGCGAAGCCCTGGGGCGAGGCGCCGTGCACCACGAGGTCGAGGCGTCGGCGGTCTGACGTCGGGACTCCTGGCGCCGACGTGTGCGACAGCCACTGCTCAGGGACCACCTGTCCCTCCACTCCCACCGCCTCGCGGCATACTGCGAGCCAGGCTTGTTCGACCAGCTTCGCTCGGCGTGCCAAGAGGCCACTGCGTGTGCAGGCGAGGGCGTGGTCGCCCCAGGGGTCTAGCGTCCATGCCCATGTTGGCCGCAGATGCCGGTTCCCGGAAGCAAAGGCAGGGGCTTCGCTGACTGCCCGGAGTATGGTTGGCTACGTGCCCTGGGTGTTGGCCGAGCCGTGCTGATTTGTATCACCTGCTGGCAGTGTGCCCGGCCACTGAGTTGCGCAGGGCCCAGTCGCCAGAGGTGGTCCTGTCAGATTGCCTGCAGATAGATACGGATGTGGAAGTTTTGAAGCAAAGGATTATACTACTCGGTAACTGCATTGCTACCGCAGCACAGCTGTTGGCTCAGATGCGCCAGTGAAAACATCGCGCTATATACACGAGGCATACTTGTAACGACGGAGACTTGGGATCGGTAAGCAAGGCATGACGGCCCGTAGGCCTGCAGGCGGTTGGCACGCATGCCCTGCTGCCAGCCGGGAACCGCCAGCAAATGGTGCTGCGGTGACCGTGCGGGACAGTAAGCTGTGGCTGACTGATCCCACGTGCCGCGGGGCACGGAACATATTGCAGATACAAATACAGATACATACAGACCAGGCACACCAAGTATGTATTTGCGAGTGCGCACAACTGGACAGGCACGCGTACCAGACCAGGTGGTGCAGGGTGGCTAGCAACGGAGCCAGCCCCGGCAAACAGCTCCAAAAAAACTTGCTGCTGGTACTGTAACGACTGCCTTTTGGCAATCTGAAGCGAAGATCGGAGATGGGATTGGGCTTTAGTTTTCAAGGGTGTGGCATGCAGCGGTGAAAAATGATCCCGGAGCCTGGCAGCTTTGTGACTCTGAGGATCGCTGATCACTTCCGCCAACAGGTCTGCGCACGTCAGCAGCTGGCGTTCCACGAAGTTGCCACAGAGCTGGGATTGCATCGGCACCTTGTGCACCTGCTGCTGTGCTGCTGTCGCTTTCTCGTGCCTCCGCAAACTGTTGTCCGTTCGCCATCGTCCCCGCTTCTTGATGTCCAACAATGAGGTCCCGGTCCATCGCAGGTGACTTGCTGCCCCATGCCGGTTGCCGTACAAGGTGGCCTCGACGGCATTCAGCTTGAGGCGCCCGCAAACTGACTTGAACTCGGTGTTGAGTTGGCTGCACGTAAAGGGCACAAAAAGGTCTTTGCGTGGCACTGCTTCACCAGGGCTTCCAAGCCCGGAAAGATGTAAGCCACCTGAGGACTGAGGTGAATGCTCTCGGCGAACACATTGGCTTTGCTGGGGCTGCTTAATTCGCCATCCGATGGCGCGAGAATCACGCCCCAGGAATGCATTCCGGCAAGGCGCGCAGGCCGGATCAATTGCCGTGGCTGTAGTCCTACCGTTCGCCTGGCAAAGCAGCAAGTCCCACTGCAGGATGAGCGCCAGCACCGAAAGAACTGACCCCATTGCAAACATGGCCCCAACAATCGCAGCAAAGGCGACCCTTGGAGTCGGGAGTCGCATTTTCGGTGGAGCCAGGTTGATGTAGCCCTCCAGAGCTTGAGTGCTTCTCGGGAAGTGTTTCCCACCGTTTTGTTCGTACTTTAGGAACCGAAACCTGAAGGCGGCGTACATGTACTCCGCGGCGCTGACGTCCTGGCCTTGAGCGTGTACAATTCGTTCAGGTATGCAGTCAGCAGCGTGTCCCAGTCCGATGTCATGACCAGATAGACGCTGCACCACTGCAGCAAAGTCTCGACCAGGCGGTGGTAACGTTCCTGCATCGCGATTTTTTGAACCTTGTTCACCTCTAGCACTGAAGGAGCCCCTGTAAGTGTCGACACAGTCGCCTGCATGGTCAAAACAGGTGGCGCCCGTCTCTTGCATCCCAAACTCGGTTGAGCGGCACCCGTCATCGGCCGTAGGACCTTCTCCTCCCACGCCATCTCGATGAGAGGGAATGGGGTGTCGAAAAGGATTTTTCGGTACCTTGGGCACGAGAAGGCTGATCAGCACATGAGCTCGCAAGAAATCGTTTTGCTGCAATGTGATGAGTGTGCGAGTCTCAGCCTCGCATGAAATTTTCATGTGACGCCTTTTTCAAACTCTCAAACGGGGTGAGGTAAGTCGTTTGACAGCTCATTGCCATGAGAGTTGCCGGCAGCACTCGTGCTGCCTTACGTCAAGTTCTGCTAATTCGGGATTTGGCGGACCAAACCGATGCAGTGCTCGACAGAGCCGTACGACTTGCCCGCCAAGACGTGGGAAGGAGGCGGCCCACCAATCTCGAAGAAGAGCGTTCCGCTTTCTCAGCTGCACTCAGCGGGCTTGGGGGCTTGACGCAACCATACGAGATTGATTGGGAAGTCGAAGACTTCAGCTCGCTGATGTGGGAGTTGTGGTTATGTGCGACCCAGGGCAGTCAATCAGCGACGCGTTTTCCATGCTTGTCAGAAGACGAAGAGGCCTGGCAAGAGTCATATGCAGAATTGCTGGAAGCATTGCGAGCAAGCCAGACTTGGCAGCTGGCTACTTGGCAGTTTTGTGCATCGCTGCCATCCAACACGGGGCGTGGACTGGTCGCCAGCGACTCGGCTTGGTGTGCGGCATTGGAATCTTTCCGCTGTTCGGGGAGCTGTTGCGCAAATACACTTTCGACACTACCGAATTGCAGTTCACCCAGCCGAGCAGGCGCACTGAAGATGTCGCTGGCGATCCGAGTGCAGGAGATATATTATAATGCCACAGGGTGGGACCAGCAACGTTGGCGCGGATTGACGCAGTCACTCAGTGCCTTAACGCAGGATCCTTTCCCTTCGGCTCGACCTCCTGCGGCTTCCACGGTTCGCTGGCGCCCTGCCCTAGGTCAGGCCGTAATCGTGACTGACACGCCTCCGTACCAAGACTTCAAAAATGAATTGGGTGCAGTTGTCTCTGTGCATGATTCCGGCCTCGTGGACATTGCGTTGTGCAGTTGTGCGATGGGGCACATCTTTGAAGATTGCACAGCTCCGCGGTGATGAGCCCGAATGCGAAGAGTTGGCGCGGCTCGGCTCCAAGGCTTTGGAATCTGCGCCGGGCAGAAATTGACACTAAGCACGCCGCGTATGCCCCGCTTTCCGTGGCTGCCATTGAAGCCACTCAATCCCAAGCACGAGTTGTGAAGAACTTATTGGTCAAGTGGTCGGCTCGTGCGGCCCTCATTCCAAGTTGGTCGCGTAGTTTTTGGAAGGAAGTCGGTGAACAAGGCAAGCTCGAAAATCGTGTGGAGGCGTTGCTCAAGTTCTTCCGTTATCTCGGAAATGGAAGCGGAACACCTCCGCGCGTCGCGGAGCTGAAGGAAAAGCTTGCGGAGCTTGAGAGTAGTGGTGCATTGGCTCATTCCACGGCTCTGTTTGACAATGGTTTGCTGGACGCACACCGCACAGAGGTAGATGAGGAGGATGCCGGAGGTTGGGAGGCCAGTCTCCCGCCAAACATGAAACGGGCAGGCCCAGAAATCTATGCGTCCTTTCGTGCTTCCGGAGCCCGAAGTGCCATAGAGTGGCTCAATCAGATGATTCCGCTTAATCGTCGAGGAGATGCGCTTTATTTGGACCTTTTCAATCAAGCTTCGTTGGTGGACTTCGCCGTGAAGGATGCGAAGGGCCCCCAAGCTCAAGCACTATCTCTGATAGCTCCCAACGATATTGCGGACGTGGCTCTGAGGAGACTGGCATCGTATGTGCATGAAAAAGGGACCAGTGATCGTGATGCGGCAGTGTCCATGCTCGCCATCAAACCTACCAACCTATCTCATGACATTGCTCCGGCATGGCTGGTGTCACAGGCTGCTTTATTTGCTCAGAATGAGCATAAGAGGCGTGAGCGGGCCAAAGCGCAACGAGGCGATGCTAAGGGCACCAGTGGTCAAGCAAAGGGCTCATCGAAAGGAGGTGGTGGGAGCGAGGTAACAAATGCCCCAAAGGCGGCAAGGCGCCGTCTTCAGCCACTCAGGGTTGAAGTGATGGTGGCCTTCTTGGGGCCGCTGTCCGCTCCAGGAGGGTGACACCACCCGCTACTTGTAGCATACAGACAGCCTTTTCTCCTGCTGATGGTGCAGCGTTTCCGTTACCGTTGCTTCCGCCACCTGCTATCCCAGCCTCGACCTCAGCACGATCGCGCGACAGGTATGTTAAGAACTTGCGGCTTTGTATGCAGTCAGTTTGATTCATTTCTTGGAATTCATACATGTGGGCACCACTAGAGCCCACCCCTTAAGGGGGGAGGGGTGGGGGGGTGGGTGAGGGGGGGGAAATAGGTGGCATACCTATTTCGATGTTTTTCATATGTTGGGGGGCTTGGGGGACTGTAGCGCAGAAGGTTGTGTGCTGAGTGGCTCAAGTTTCGGGTTGGGCGTGCGAAGGCGACCCCGAATCCACGCTAGACCCCACCTATGTATCCATGATGCTGGACTCCTTGCTGCTAGCCTACTACTAAGGTATGTACTTCTAGCCCACCAGCTATGGCCTTGCCTAGAAGCCTTCCCCAAGCCTTCTAAGCCAGGAATAAATAGGTGGGGGGACCGTAGCGTGCAAGAGCCTTGCACCTCGTAGGCCACCCCCAACCCCCCCTTCGACTCCACCTATTTCTCCTTGATGCTGGACTCCTTGCTACTAGCCTACTACTCAGGCAGGTTCTTGGAGCTTGCCTATTTCTTAAATATGTGCTGCTCGCCCAGCAGCTATGGCCTTGCCCAGAAGCCTTGTTAGCTAAGAATAAATAGGTGGGAACAGGTGGGGGGACCGTGGCGTGCAAGAGCCTTGCGCCTCGTAGGCGACCCCCAACCACCCCTTCGATTCCACCTATTTCTCCATGACGCTGGACTCTTTGCTACTAACCTACTACTCAAGCAGGTTCTTGGAGCTAGCCTATTTCTTAAATATGTGCTGCTCGCCCAGCAGCTATGGCCTTGCCTAAAGGCCTTGTTAGCTAAGAATAAATAGGTGGGAACAGGTGGGGGGACCGTAGCGTGCAAGAGCCTTGCACCTCGTAGGCGACCCCCAACCCCCCCTTCGACTCCACCTATTTCTCCTTGACGCTGGACTCCTTGCTACTAGCCTACTACTCAGGCAGGTTCTTGGAGCTAGCCTATTTCTTAAATATGTGCTGCTCGCCCAGCAGCTATGGTGGGAACAGGTGGGGGGACCGTAGCGTGCAAGAGCCTTGCGCCTCGTAGGCGACCCCCAACCCCCCCTTCGACTCCACCTATTTCTCCTTGACGCTGGACTCCTTGCTACTAGCCTACTACTCAGGCAGGTTCTTGGAGCTAGCCTATTTCTTAAATATGTGCTGCTCGCCCAGCAGCTATGGTGGGAACAAGTGGGGGGACCGTAGCGTGCAAGAGCCTTGCGCCTCGTAGGCGACCCCCAACCCCCCCTTCGATTCCATCTATTTCTCCATGACGCTGGACTCTTTGCTACTAACCTACTACTCAGGCAAGTTCTTGGAGCTAGCCTATTTCTTAAATATGTGCTGCTCGCCCAGCAGCTATGGCCTTGCCTAAAGGCCTTGTTAGCTAAGAATAAATAGGTGGGAACAGGTGGGGGGACCGTAGCGTGCAAGAGCCTTGCGCCTCGTAGGCGACCCCCAACCCCCCCCTTCGACTCCACCTATTTATCCTTGATGATGGACTCCTTGCCGCAGCCAGCATCCCCAAGCCTTATAAGGTAGGTATAAATAGGTGGGAACAGGTGGGGGGACCGTATGGGACCGTAGCGTGTAAGAGGCTTGGGCCTCCTAGCGACCCCGGATCCCTCCCTGCATCAGTCCGTGCGTCTCTCCCTGCTCTCTCTCTCTCTCTCCCTCCCTCTCTCCCTCCCTCCCTATCTTTCTATCGTTCGCAGTCCATAAGTTCATACAAGGATGACGCTGGGGACGATAATACCACTACGATACTGCCCATGCAGATAGAGGGCTGTCATGCTGCTGTTCTAATCATTTCCCACCTATTTCCTAACCCCCCCCCACTGTAGCAGAATAGGTGGCGGAAATAGGTGGCACCGGGGGTTACCCCCCCCCCCCATTCTCACTATATTAAGGGGGGCTCTGCACCACTAAACACACCAAGAAGCTTTATGGGGCAGCGCTGGTCGATGAACCGAACCAGGCCCAGAAAGCTGTATGGAGACATTTGCTTCATGTTAGCAACATTTAGCAACGATGGTCTCCGGGTCCGCCGGGAGGTCCCTCCGACAGGCGGCCAGCCGGCCGTCGCGGCGCTCGTCAAATCCGCGAAGGTGGATGCGATGGGTTATGCGACGGTTTCCAAGACGCATGCCCAAGTGCCCATGGACGCTTCTCGCATTGTTGAGCCGTCGGATGAACAAGTAGTCGACATGTTGCAAGCACTTCCGCAAGATGAACGTCAATTTTATGCCCGCAAATAGAACGTCGTCGAACTTCTGTGTAAAAAAACTGTCATTCAACAAGAATTTTTTTTCTTACGCACCTTTTTCCGCCGGCCGGAGAGAGTCTGCTGGTTCCTCCGTCACCTAGGACCTACCGGGCCGAGGCGCAGGGCTTGCCACGGACCTTCGCTAGGACCGCAAAAGGGCAAGCGGCTCTGGCCCTCAGGGGCGGCAAGCTGGAGGACTCCGTCGAGCGGCGGGCCGTCGCCGGCCTCCGGTTGCGCCGCCGAAACCCGTATACTGGCGAGCGACTGCCTGCTGCTACGGCTGGGGGAGCGCGGTATGCCTTCAGACGCACCAGGTCTCGCACAAAGCTGCGGGCCTGGGCATTCCAGCGGCCGCCAACCTCGGAGCCTAGCACGACGAGCGTCTGCGGCCCGCCGCGTGTAAGTTCCGGGTACGCGGCGTGCTTGTGGCGCTCGGCCACTCGCAGTACGGCCCCGTGCACGGCCGCTGCGCATGGCTGTGGGTGCCCCGAGCGTGTGGGTGGGGACAGTCGAGTCGCAGCACTGTGCGCAGGGCCCCGTTCACGACGAGGTCGAGCTTGCGACGGTCCTGCAGCGCTCCGACATGCGGGGCGGTGGTGTGGGCCAACCATTGTTGTGGGAGGACTTGCCCTTCCGATCCCATCGCTTCACGCGCAACCCGCACCCACGCCCGTTCCACGATCTTGGCCCGCCTGGCGAGGAGGCCTGTGCGTGGGCACGCGAGCGCGTGATCGCCGAAGCAGTCAACGACGCCCCCGCAGCCGTGGGGTGGCCCGCAAGTGTTGCTGTGCAGGGGCAGAGATTGTCGCAGGCGGCGCCTCAAAGCGATCTGCGTGGCGGGCGGTGGGAGCGTGGTGGCCGGCTCAGTCGGGATCGCAGCGAGCCAAGCGCCCGCTTGCGGTCCGGACTGGGAGCGCAGGGGCGCTTGGGAACTGGGAGGCATGTCGGGCAGCAGCGTGCGCTCGCGAAAGTGACTGTTGAGTGTTCGCGTCGCGCGCATCTGCCATCCATGCGGCCAGTCTCCGGGCCCTGCGTCAGCCGGTAGTGGGTGCCCCTTCCAAGAGGGCGAGCCATGTGGGGCAGGCTTGCCAGCCCGCCTCTCGCAGCAAGTCTCGCGCCTCAACTGCCTCGCGAAGGCAAGGGGTGTCTCGGCGCGCCCCGCCCTCCAAAGCTTGTTGACACTGTCTCGCAAAGTCGGGTGCGCGGGCGTGCATGACAGGCAGCGCGTCTGCCCAAGCCGCCCAGTAGGCCGCCGGTGCGATCCGTTGCGCGGACTGCAGGCCCAAGCCGACGAGCACTGCTGGCAGCGTGGCGATCGACCATGCGTGGGGCGCGTCGTCAAGAGGCGGGCCTCCCAAGCAGGCCTGCAAAGCTTCCCATATATGGCTTCGTCATGTGCAGCGGCATACCCTCGTGGCTCGGACGGGGGCAGCGTGCGGAGCGCATGGTTAGCGAGCCAGCTGCATTGCAGGTCCGGTAGTCGGGGGAGCTGGAACAGCAGTATGCTTTCGTTGGCCTCAAGCAGGACATTCCAACAAACATGTGGGAGTGGGAGCGCTTCCGGGATGTGAAAACAGTCGCTGGCTTGTCGGTGGTTCCCAAGTAAGATGGGCGCTCTCAGCGCAAGTTGCAATTATTTGCTTCCTTGGGGACGTGTTGGCCTTGATAGTGTTTGAGCCATCAAAAAGCAACTTTTATATGAAGGTCATACAGAGCATCAAGATCATCAGGCAAAATGAGGATCATTTAAAAAGTGATATTCTTGATGTATGCATGGCGATGTAGTCACAGTTTTCTGACATGACGAAAGAAATTGACCATTTGCCGGGATGAGCATCATAAACTGCATCATGCTGATACAAAATCCAACAGCCTCAGTAAACTGGTTCCACAGACCGGGCACGGCGTTTGGGAGATTCCCATAACTTAAGAACAAAGGAGCATACCACCAGAACAAAAACACAGCTACTACAAACTGTAGAGTTTCCGGGTTAGGGTTTTAAAGTTCAGGCTTCCAGGGTTCAGGGCTTAGGACCATATGGGGTAGGTTTCAATTCTGAGATTGGATTGTCAAAGGGAACGCATAACCAGAAGCTCCTTACTATTTCAAAACCGTAGAAGTAGACTATATATATATATACAACAATTGACACATACCGATGCATAGCTGCATAGCTCCCTGCAAAGGTTCCTACGTGCAGTCAAGACCTTTAATGCCTTACTTCGGGATTTGGGGGATTGGGACTCAACGAATTTCAGCACCTGTAACTTCAGATTAGACTTTGGGGTTTAAGTTTTATAGCTTCAAGTTACCTAATTGTCTCAGTATTCAAGGGTTTAGGAAGGTGTACTTAATCAGGACTTTGCAGGTTTTACGATTTAGGGTTATTTACAAAATAGGATCAGGGCTTAGTTCTAAACCCTGAACTGTCTGATACGGGGCCCTTGCCGAAGAGCTGCAACTTCAAGTGCTACATGCTTTCTCAATTTCACACTCGGGGGATGGACTTGACGTCTTGGATTTGTGTGGTTTCCTATGCAACTCTACCAAAAGCCTTTGGCTTTAAGGATGCCTGGGTTCACCTTTAGAGTTATTCGCGCTGTTTGGGGGTTTTGGGTGTTCAAGCTTCCTTTTCAGGGGTTGCTGCAGGATGGTAGGAGATGCTGGGTTTGAGTTCTTCTAATTGCACTAGGCACGAGATCTCGAGGGGCCTTCCGTTCAAGCTTTGCAACATAGCTCCAAAACCAACTACATAGGCCTACAGGACGCTTTTTTCTAGCTGTTGTTGCTTGTGGTTCCGGCTGCAGGCCTGAAGGTTTGGGGTATTTAGTTCGGCAGGTAGCAAAGCCTAAACCTGAACTCCCTGAACCCCAAGAGAGCAGGGTTTTGTTGTTTGGCTTCGGTTTTAAGGCAGTTAAGGGCTTCTAGGGATTCGAAATATGTATGGGTGAAAGGGATTAAGGGATCACGGCATGAAGGCTTCAACATAGGGGCGACCATGTTCGATCTAGTTGTTCAGCCGACAACATTGTGTTTACTAAAGCAAGTGTGCTTCGAACGAAAACTTGTTAATAGGTAAACCCCATGAACCCTTACCCTCCCAAGGCCAGACTTTGAGAGCGCCCAAGCCGGTCCTTCAAGCTTTCCAGCGGCCGAAGCTTCTGAGTTCTCAAAAGCTCTGTGGAGCCCCCTAGAGTTTTTTGCCCCGCAGGACCATTCGTTAGCCAGCAGCTCTAAGCTAGGAGGGTTAAAAGTTTACAGGCGCTACAAACCGTACAGCATAGCTCCAAGTACCGTTTGTACATGTATAGACATAATTATATATAGGGTTCAGGAGATCTATATAGGGGTCAACCTATATATACCGGCCTATATCTAGATAGCACCCTATATAGCGTAGCACCCATAATAACACCCATTATAATTAAATTAGAGCTGACTAGCAACGGTCGGCCTGCAGAGCTTTTTTCAAGCTTTGCTTGGCAACAACGAGGAAGCGAAAGAGACAGTTTGTCGACATTGTACGGTAATCCATCTTCCGTTTCATTCTCATGATCGTTTTGATGTAGTCCTCATCCATCCATGTTGTATCCTGGCTGGCATTGCGGCGGGACGGGCGCAACTGGGCATCGTCGATGGTGTGGTTTACCATGTGCAGCTTGGGCCGGCACTTAAAAAGGTACTCATGCCTCTGAAGTGCTTCATTCGCCAGCTTGATGTAGCTTGTAAGCCACAAATTGCCCACACCATGCACTGTAGCACTTTCATCTTGCACAAGGAACGGGCCTCCATGCTGAAGACAGCTCATGAAAGTATCGGCTGCCCATAACATCGCGACCAAGCCATTGTAAGAAGGCGGTGCTTTCTGCTGGACCTTCCAAACCAAGTATTTCAGGAACACCTGGGCGTCATGCCCACTAGAATGCAATTCCGGGCATGCATCGGATCTCCAGCGTATGGTCTGTTTCTTCACTCCAGTAAGTGATAATTGCAGCCCATTCTCCTTGGCATAGGAGCGCAGCTCACGAGACAGGGTCCTGAATCGTTTGTCGATGTTGGACCCGGTGAAGTAGTTTTTGTCTCGCACAAGGATTTTAACGGTCGACCCTATCACATCTCGCAAGCATCCGAGGTTCCATGTATGTAGCAGATCTGTAGAGATCATCCGAAAGCTGAATCCATTGAGCTGCGACAGCGCCGGTGCCACATGCCAGGGCGCAGTAGTGTATATTGTAGATCTCCAAGCAGCCGTGCTGGTGACATCGGTATAAACACAGTGGAAGTTGTTTGCAGTGCGTCCCATGGAGGCCAGGCACATGTGGCAGACCTTTATACAGGGCATGCCACCTATGTGATATTACCCCCATATATGTATACTTGATTACGATAAGAAGTCTTTAAACCTTAAGGGTGGGGTATTGCTCTATAATCTCTTATATATTAAGAATAGTTGATTCTAGCTTTGCAGCCGTATGTTGCCTCCTCACTTCCAGGGTGGCGCACCAGATTGAAGGCTTGCTTGAGAAACTTTAAGTCTCCCTTGATTGCAACCACGGAGAAGTAGATGGTCTTGGTACCACAACATAGAGAAGCTGGATGTACAAACCGACGATCCCAATCTAAAAAAGTTTTAAAGGACTACTTTCACACACCCCGTAAACCCTAATATAATGTTGACACAAGGATCTCCCAGCTTCTCATCCGGCAGCCCCTCGTTGGCAAGCTTGTTGAGGTCGGCAACAATGGTTTCGTACAGGGCTTGCAGCGACTGGTTCACTTTAAACTGATCCACATGGTAGCGTGTGACGGGCAGGGAGAACATAATGTATCTCGATGCCCTGCTGTTGCTGCGGTACTTGCAGAGGTCGGGTGTCCTGGGTAACTTATTCTGGGTTTTCGTATACCCCTGATTTCTAAATACTATAGAAAATCACGGGACTTCAAAGAATTCGGCTTCAGGGCATAGCACATTAAAAAATAGTTCATGTCGGGGCACCACGTACTTACCATCCAGGACTTTCTTCGAACTTGACCCTCGTCACCCCAAAGCAGCAGGGGAACAGTCTTGGACCAGGTCTCAGGCTTGGAGCACAAAGGATGGTTTGGGAAGTCTTGTAGAATCGTAGCCCAGTAGGCGTCCAACTCATCAAATGGAGCCAGAGTTTCACGAAACCCATCCTGCAGCAAAGCTTTGGCCTTACAGATCGACAGACCATCGTGGAAGCGCACATGGTGCGGCTACACCATAGTGTTTAAGTTCAAACATATTGTTTCTAAAGACGAATTATGAAACTTCACCAAAGAACAACTTGACTCGGAAGGAGCAGGGGCCAACTCTCAACACAAACCTCCTCTTCCCCATCCTCATCCCAAGTCGTCACTGGAATCTGAGTATAGGAAATCTGTGCATCAAAGGCCGACCCAGACGACGCCACTCGGTTGTGAAACTCGGTCTCCCGTAGCGGCCGGCTCTCGTATCCAGCCAGCAGGTGGGATCCATAAGTGTCTCCTGGGCGATTTCAAAGTTTTCAATGCACATTTACAGTAGTACCAGCATCCTACCATAGGTAATTAAAGCTGGGTTTGCGCAGGGACGGAATATCAGCTGCATGAGTTTGTAGCTGCACCGGCTAGCTTGTACAGTTCAGTCACAGCTGCACTGCATGGAATCACAGCTACATGAAGTCAGTGCATGCACATACTCATGCATTAATCACACCAAGGCTCCCAAGTCACAAGCCAAACTAATATCCAGCTGGCCGTCACACACGGCCCCAACGATCCTGAGCCAGAGGGAATTCGTGCGCATTCAGACGATGCCCTAACCCCGGCTAATGTTACCATTGAGTCTATCATCTAGTTGACCGGAATGTAGCACTGATCGGTGCCTTCTAGTGCACTTCGATCCTAGATGGCTTTGCAATTCATAATTTCCCGAAATCCCGAAGTCCTCAATATTAGTAGCTGATACGGACCCAGCAGCTTCTTATCCAAGGTGTTGTGCCGCCCCAGCGCAGATGATGAGCTCGAGGACACAGCCACTGCACCTGCGTGGGCTATGGGGCTACGATCAAACTAATCCTTCTTTGAGGCTTTAGGGTTCAGGGCTTAGGGTTTGGGGTGCTTGGGTTGGCTCCAGGTACGTTGCAATCACAGCAGCGTCCAACCTCTCTGCATGTAAGAGTTCAGAGTTCATGCAAACACGCAATTTTTTGTGCGCCGAGTGCACAGCCGAGCGTCTATGCCACATACTGGAGGCCAGTAAGTAGCCACGCTACAGACAAAGCACATCGCCCCCAATCTAATGTTCACACCCGATAGACTCTGAAACATTGTTCCTGGTCCACACCTTTTAGTGGATCGGAGCAGGCCCGGTGCAAGCATGAGCACCAGGATCGATAATTCAAAAGGCTGCGCTGGCACACTGCATATTGTAATTGCACTGCATTACATGCATAGTACATGCAGTAGTCTAAATACGATCTATATAGTTAACATCCAACCATTTGCATCGAGGTACGTAGCTGTGATTCCCAGCACAATCAAGAATTGTCCGCGACAGCTGGTAAGCCAGCTGCTTTTCAGCCAGTCACCTACTCTCGCTTTTTCAGCTCAAGAACGACAGCCTTTGCTTGGGCCTTCACCAGCTGGTGTTCCACGACCTGCCCGATCTACTTGAACAAACCCTAAGCCTTAAAAAAAAAAAAACCCGAAGCCTGACCCATGAAGCCAAAATAAGCAGCCTCCTCGTGGATTGCTCGGCAAACAGGATCCATAGCCGCCGAGGACTTCTTGCCCTTGAGCCTGTGGCATCAAACATTTATTGAAGCTTGCTTGAGGTAATAGCAAAGCTGGGATAGCATGTGAATTTGGCGACTAAGTCTAGGACTCTTCGGCATGTTGCATCAGCTGCTGCTGGTGGTCGGCTAACAATTTCTTCAGCTCAGACTCATCAGGAAGGTCCATGAGCATGCAGGTCAGTTGGCCGATCTCCCTGCGCACTTCATTGCCTGCAAGCTACTACCATTATCAAGATGGGCAGGTATCCATCGTCTTAATTAAGGCATTACATAGTATTGTGGGATTGGGGTTTAAGGTCTTGGTTTACTGTAGGGTTATTTAAGAATATTTCAGCATTATTAGGGTACCACACCAGTTAAATGTAGTCCAGAATGCTCCAGCGGGTGTGCTTCTCACCCTCGTTTTTGAAGCACTCCTCGATCAAGGGCCGTTTCTTGCCACCGTTGCCATTGCTCGACCTGTTGGTGCGATTTGTTCGGGTGGAGGGAGCATTCGAGGCTGCAGGAGCACCAGCAGCCGAGCCAGCAGCACCTGTCCATTGAAGAAAATTCATTCTATTGCTCTATGACAGTTGCACCTAATTTTGTGTACTAAGTAAGTGGTAATGATTGAAACCATATGTAGAATCTGCAGAAAGTTGTTTGCCTCCCGAGACAGAAGCCATCAAGTCATTGTTGTACTGGTCGAAGGCCCGAAGAACATCCATGTTGAGACCCGGAGATGCAGCCGTAGTCTTGCTCTTGCCCGATAGGCCTGACTGAACAGGGTCGGCCCCGAGAATACCATCAACCATCGCAGCCGAGGGCTCCGCATTCACCCTCATGCGCTGGCTGACTTCGATGTCGACTTCGTCAGCCGCTTCGACCATATGGGTAATCCAGAAGCGAGTCTCAGCTAGCACATTTGGCGCGTCAGGGTCACTGATACCACCTCCCCGAGCAATGATAGCTTCCACCTTTTGCCTGATGCTGTTCGTACAAATATATTAGGGTGAAGCGAAACCAATATTGAGTAGGAACTCACTATATAAGCAGAATATCTTGAAACCAATCTCAGCAGTGGAGCTTGCTGAATCTGTACGGCGCTTCTGTCATGTCCTTTACTGGAACCAGACGGCGAACGGTCTTGGCTTTGGATCTCGAGGTCCTGCTTGCCTCGATAGAGGCTTCCGTGGCCTGGGTATTGCCACCCGACATCACCCAGCGCTTGAGGAGCTCTTGGCGGTCCTTCAGATTCGCAAGGATAACCTAGCTTTAGGTTGAGATATCGGTTTAATATGTACCACACATACAGCCAACCTCAGTACATGTTGTGAGCCCTGTTAATTTGTATAGTACATACACATATCCTCACGATCTCATATTCGATCATGCATGGCACACGCATATACACACAAACTTTTACTAGTCCTTATGCCTGCCAGTACACAGACTGAACATTTTTATAGACAGTATATACATACATACAGATACCTATATACATATATATATATATACATACATATAGGTATACATATCATATGATGTCCCTGGAAAGATGCCAGCACCAGCCTTGGACATTCATCATCATAGTAGTACATTTCCCTAAGTAAGATCCCCTTAATTTGATCACCGGCCAGGAGCAATCTAGCCCCGATCTACACTAATCCAGAACTACCTGGTAAATCATGAACATCGTATGATACTTGGACCCGACAGCACAAAGCTGAATACATGAACTATGTGTGTGTATGCATATTATACCAAACACATTATTGTAGCTGCATAGGGATGCTTCCATGGCGATCGATGTGTGAGCTGGTTTACACCGACTGCATATGCATCATATGCTTGAGGTTCATGTAGAGCATGTGCACTGGTTGATTTCCCAAAGTCAGTGTTGTCCATTAACCACTAACGCACGAGAAACCTTAGGTGAAAGTAGTTGGTTGCTTATCGATCATATCAATCTTTTCTTTCTTTGTTAATATATGTCTAGGCCTTAGCTACTAGCTATATATATATATATATATATATACATACATACATAGCTGGGTGACAATCTCCACTAATTCTTATTGGGACCTTAAGGGGCCTAGGTACTAGATAGGACTCAGAGAATGGTAAGGTCAAGCCATCATAGACCAAGATGAAGCCTAGGCCCTGACACTATGCTACCAAACCAAAGACATCTATCATCTAAACAGAAAACTTAATGCCATAAGGAATACCTGAAGCTAGGAGGGGAGAGAGGGATAGATACATGCAGTATAGATAGAGTGAGTGTGTGTGCGTGTGTGTGCGTAACAGAGAAAGAGAGAGAGAATAGCACTACACGGTTGCACGAACAAACACAACAAGCAAACAAATGAATGATATGAGACAAGGACCTAACCACAGGACTCCAAACTGATTGCGCACAAACTACCATGTAGGATCGGTTTGCAACTCTGGCCTTCAGCGTGCCTTCGGCAAGCTGCATCATGTTCGGACACTTCGATGCCAACGTTCCGCTCTTGATCAGTCGGTCCTTATATAGGGTGTAACATGCACACAATGCACTCAGCACAGAATTCGAAAGCCTATAAAACTGAAACCCCCGGCAAAACCAATAATCACAGAGAAAAGGCACCAGAACCATGTACTCTCGCTTGTGAGTGCGGCTGTTCACAACCTCTTCGGCGGGGGGCTCCATTGTTGCAGGGGCTGGCGACGGGGCTCGCACCGGGGCCGCCGGCGGGACCGCCGGCACGACAGCCGGACTGGATGCGACAGACTCCGGGGCAAAGATGGGCTGGGAAGACGGTTGGCAAGCTCTCCTTGGCGGCTGCATGCTCTTACCGATCATGGGGTCGTCCTCCAAGATCTTCGTCTTATCCAAACCCTTCACGGACTTGGTAGCCGCCGGGCAGCTTGCATTCTCATCATCGTCCAGTCCATCGTGCATGGATGCATCCCCTTCCTGATCAGTCTCGGCCTCATCAGCCGAGCCATCCGGGACTTCCCCGGCTTCATCATCGCCCTCACCATCCGGGGCTTCCCCGGCTTCACCATCGTCCTCACCATCCTCGCTGTGCATGGAATCACCATCCATGTCATCGTCCGGAACTGGGGCCACCTCGCGTTCTGCAGGAGCCCTTGAGCTTGTGCGGTCCTCAACGGCCGGAACCTCCAAGCTGGAGGGCATGGGGGGCAACTCCTGCCCATTTGCCTTCAACTGCCCCACCAGTGCAGACTGGTAGATCTGCATCTGCTCGACCATTTGCCGCAGCTGCAAGCATTCCGCAGAAGAGGATGACGAACCAGTCTGGGACACAGAGCCACCCAGCCTCAGCATACCAAAAAAAGGCAGAAGCATGTATACGTAGTATATATGCAGTAGTCGAAACATCGCTCATGCCCACATCACACACACGAGCAAACAGAATGGTACATCGAGCTGCCCTGCAAGAACTTGGGAGGCATTCTCCATGACAATCGTCTCAGCAGCATCAATCCCACGTTGCTTGCTCAGCTGCTGGTCAGCTACAAGCAAAGTACCACAGGACCTGAGATGAGAGAAGCTCAAGACAAGAAATGAGAGAGGTATGTATCATATGCACATATGTGTGTATACATGGTGTTTGTGTGTATACATGCATACCTAAAGTACGGTTCATGGAACTATAAGTATTAACTCTGGCTACCAAGTTACCACCCACGACGCACCGCCACGGGAGGGAGTGCATTCTCCCCATTGAGACTCTCACCCAAGTCGATCGATGCACGACCGCGCCGCAGCCTGGGTTCCCCTTCCTCGTGGGTGTCGTCGAGTGTGTCTTCGGGGACAGTCGACTCGGGCAGAGTGTCATGTACCGTACCCTTGTTGGACACTTTGTACTTGTCCCAGAAAGCGATTAGCTGGGGGGTGGGTTCGACATGCTGGATTGCATTGGGATCGGCAGGCTTCTCGGTGGCTACAGCAGCAGCTAGCTTGTGGGTCGGCTTGACCTTGGTTGCGGGATCATCCTTGGCCTTGCTCGGGGGGTCCTTAACCGTGCTGGTTGGATTGATCTTGCTTGTGGTATGATCGACCTTGGTTGTGGGATCATCCTTGGCCTTGCTTGGGGCGTCCTTAACCCTGCGTGTGGGCTTGACCTTGTTCGCGGCGGGCTCGGCTGGGGCATCGGGCTTGCTCTCATCAAGACCAGTGGGCTCTGGGATCTTGCTTCCTGCGCTACCACTTCCACTGGCACTGCTTGCGTGAACCCCTGACGGATTCTCACCCTCAACCTCAGCAGCCACTGCTGTCGCACGGGCCGTCTTGACCTTCTTGGCCTTGGTGGGCTTCCGAGCAGGCTCAGGCTCGGCCGGCTCGGCATCGGCAAGATCGCCAAGCTCTTGCTCAGCGGCAGCAAGAAACTCCTTAGTTTCCTCACGCAGACGCATGGCAACGCCAACAGCTTCTTTGAAGGAAATCTGCTCATCCTCCATAAGCTGTTTTATGGTGATGTCGCCACCTTCCATCAAGGGAGTATCCATGCGGAAACACGAGCTGGCCATCGTGGAAGCCTCCGACACTTCCCCATCGGCCATCTCAACCTTAGCACCCACAGCAGCCGTCTTAGCGGCCTTGCGGGGAGGCTCGGGAGCCTCAGCACGAGCACCCTTGGTCTTAGCCATGCTTGTTCTGCTTCACAGCAGCAGAGAAAACTCAAAGCAGGCTCTACACACACAGGCTGTCAGATCCTTGAGTATTCGGCAACAGAATATATAGTACATCTCACATGACACACCACACGGGCTGGTACTCTTCACACTCACAGAAAAGACGTGATGTAGCATGTGTGTATCTCAGCAACCTGCAGCATTTCATAGAACTAACGACTCCTATTTGTTGTAGCTATGCATCTTCGGCCCCAAAGTCGTGAGATAGGCTGCTATCGAGTGATTTTACAGTACATAGAAGCCCACCTAGCCAAACATGGTTCGTTTGCTATGAGGTTTGGAGTCGACACCCGAAAAGTACATATGACCCGAGCGAGTCCAACACATAGCTGACACACTGTACAATATACGTCGATAACACCCGCGAAAGAAACCCTTACAACAGCACATTCCCTACAATGGTCCGGGGTAACAGAGGAAATCCAATATATGATACAGTTCAGAGCTAGGTGTTGTCAAGTCCGGAAATACTAGGAAACTGCCCATCCTTACCCTAGTACGACATAACAACAAGTCTAGCATGTTTGCAGTGGAGAGCACCCAAACAACACATATTGACTGTAGTGTAGTGTAGAAAGTAAAATCACGCGGATCACGCTGGATCCTGGTCATTTCACGGCGGATCCTGGCCTTTTCACGCGGTTTCGTCCGATGCCGATCTTCGTGAATTAAGCTAGTCTGAAACACACAGTGTCACGAAAGTCAAGTTGCCATGTTTTAATGACTTTGAGCTAGAAATCATCAAAACCACACTGATTAATCAAAATCCTGCTTGTTCCTGTCTAGCTAGTGCACAGAACATTGGTCACAGGACATGACAGTCCCTTGATTAGGCCAGTCGAGATCGCTTAGCCGGCTTTTCCAGTGAGCCATCAGCCCAGGCTCTCTTCAGCACCGACAAGCGTTCTGGGTACACGTTCCAGAAGAACCTTGGCGATCGAGATATAAGGACGGTTTAGGGCTCTTAGTTGGCTTCGGGCTAGGATATGTGTTCAATCGACAAAGCCAGGGTGAGATCCCGACAAAAGGTATTGCTGGTCTAGAACAGTAAAGGGCTAACGGATCTGGGTTAAGTAGGCGAACGTGCTGCTACAAGCGATTAGAGTGATCGTCGTTGTTCTTTGTTCAGACTGTACATATCAGAAGATCGAGCAGTATAGTTTCATACGAGCTCAAACAGCCGAAATTATCCTGTCGAGAACCAAGACGACCTGCATGTGTTCACACACAGGGATTTCCCGTATGGGACCGAGACATGGATGGTTCCTCAATTGGCACTTATTTGGGTTCAATCGCAACTTAAGAGAGTTGTTGACAAGGTAGGGGGAAACCATTGCAATCCAGACCAGTTCGTAACCCTGTGCAGACTTGCCAGTGTAAGCTTGCCCATTTGCACCAGAACCTATTAACCAACACTATCAAAAGGATTAGCAGTTTTGGGTCGCTTGCAGAGTACATTCTGTGAAGCTGCATGAACTGTTGCTATGGGTGGACTTGACGGAGAATCTGTGGCTAGAGTCGCTTAGGCTAGCCAGGATCAGATCCCCAGGGCACTTAGTTGAGGACTGCATAGCGCTTCTAGTGGGCTTGGTTTCAGGAGGCTTGTGGAGCCTTGCTAAATTATTGTTATCTACACGCAGTTATTGAAACCATAATGGTCCTATATAATTATATGTATGTATATCTAGATCTCCTAAAAGCACTAGGCAACCTCAAGAACTAAACCCAGGTACACGATCACTATCTGTGTGACAAGTCATGGTGGGTTTCCGGGCCTTGGCTCGCACCAGACTTGAAGCTCGGAGACAGGGGAATATTTGGTTTCCAGAACTTTTACTGCATACTGTCTTCGGACACAGAAGGTTTTGTTTGACCCAGGTATCTGCCTAGGTTGTTGGTCAAGGGTTAGGGGTGTTTCAGCTAGACAGGAAGCCGAGCCCAAAGAACAAAAAGTGATGTATCCCACACACAAACACACATCCCACATAGGGTGTGCAACCCTTTCGGACTGAAGATGTTCCGAATTCCCACTGTATCTGAACTAGCCCGAGTAGAACCCCAAACAACACTGCCCAGGTATACCTAGGTTTGTAAAGGCCCTATATGTATATATATATATATACATATGCATATACATATATGCTATAGGTGTATTTACATGTATACAGCACAACACAGCATACTATATATAGTATGCTGTGTTGTGCTGTATACATGTAAATGCACCTATTTGTATATAAATAAATATATATATATATATATACAAAGATAAATGTGCAGTAGTTTCCCTAGCGAACTACAGTTAATACAAAACAAACCAAATCCAAGCCCTCAACCCCGTGTAATGTAGGATCCCACACATGCATAGCATACATAGTACGTAGGCACACATGTTGCGTGATTTCCTGTGCAGCAAAGCTAGCCGGCTGCAAGTTGTCGAGCTGGAGCTTTGGGCTTCAAAGGGAGCAAGGGGCCGTTTCGAGGGGAGATTGAGCTGTGCATATGGTGTCAGGATTTCAGAGTGGATGAGTTCTCTATTTCGGAATGGGGTGGCATTTGGAAACTACTGCCTAATATGCTTGCAAGGATCTGGGAATGCTGTAAATATTGTGGTTGTATATTTAGACTTCAAAACCATCGTTGGCTGGCTTTACGGCCTTGCTCGGTTCTGAGACAAGCCTGGCGTTTTGGGCTCAGATATACTACGATCTACTGAAGACAAACCTCGTGCAACTATTCGTAATATTTTCCCCAGCGTAGGAATAGCTAGCAACTAGTGTCTGGCTGGCGTTGTTTGGGCGACCTCGCAACCTAGGTCTTGTGTTAACTTTAGCCTTAGGGTCTCTTTGCTGGGATCAGGCTCCGTTTGCAATTGCACAAGCTCTGCAGACTTGCTTCCTACACCTCAGAATATCAAACAGGTCTGGTAGCCTTGCTACATATCACCTATCGCAACCACAAGCCCAATACCTTAATTTAGAGCGTCTACAGCAGGACAACACCAACTTCCCCAAAGAAGACTTTCTAACCAACCTATATAGTTAGTATTGCCTCATAATAGGGAATCTTCATTCAAGTCCCATGCCCTGAAATATATTGTATCCCTACATATCGTACTGAAGAACTTGCCCGAATCCTGAAAAGCTCGGGTGAACTGCATGAAGCCATGCATATCTGATTTCTAGCCAATATACCGCAGACCATATACATATATATATATATATATATACATACCTATATGTAAATGTATATATACACATATATATATATATTCATATGTATCTGTATATATGTATATGGTCTGCGGAATATTGGCTGGAAATCATGTACGAAGTTCAAAATCTAAGAACTAAGACGGTTCATACATTAACCAAAGCCCTGTCCCATATGTATGAGCTAATTACCACTGCCTCCACCGGCGTCATATGCCTGCAGTCCCTCACAACCAAGAATAGAAGAAAGGCCTCTTAAATATTCCCAGAGCAGAATACTAAGTCATAGAGCCCAAGCCAAGCACAACTCAGACCAAGCGACTTCCGAAGTCGTTGCACGATGTTGTCCTTAATGTGGCGCTCTCAGCCCAGGTTATCAATATGCACTACGGATGCACAGCGCTCGACACCACCACTGCGCGGCTCAGCATCACATCAACAATGCCAAGGACTGTGCTCCGCAAGCTTAAGTGCCCCCCGCACTACCATAGACCCTCGTCAATCAGTCGCACATCCCTTCGAGAGTATTCTGTAGTTGAAGGACCACACATTGAATGCATAATGCAATCGAGAAACCCACTGGCCTGGAGCATCGAGATGCTTGCAGAAAACCAGGTAGCAGAGGAGCGACTGTAGCTGGGCCTGTAGGACCGAAAACATATATTTTGGGCTTGGGAACGATTTTGCCGAATACATTGAATCAATAGCCAGCTCCGAATTTTGACATGTCTTAGTACTGGTAGGAACACCGAAATCATCACAACAATATTGCTCAACTTCATTTAGACAAATTTAGGCACCTCCTTCGCCAAATCTCCAAAGCTGTCAGTCTGCAGGTCGGTAGGAAGACGGCAGGCGACGAGCTCATAGTCGCTCTTGCCCCAATCTACATCACAGACCATTTTGGGACCAGGGAGCTTTGCCTCGGTTCTCACCAATTAAGCAGTTCGTGACCTAGGAATGCATGCCAGTAGTTTTTCTACAGCAAACACAACTGCGATTGTTGCTTGGGTAGGCTCAGTTGCTTCGTCACCACGGAGCCGAAAAAGCTCAGCAATCTTTTCTCCGAACTTGGCAGGGTACTTCCTAGGATTGTGATATTTGAGAGGCATATGTTTATAAAGCCTTAACTGAACTTTGAGAAACAAATAAGACATACTGACATATTGACATGCTAGGCAGACAGGACACGAAGAATCAGGCAACAGCAATGAGTTGCCAGTGTAGCGGATCTTGCCGACTTTCGGATCGTAGTAATGATGCGCGAGCTTGCTCAAACAGAAAGCCTGGCGATCGGCCACCGAGAGGAAGCCACCATCACGAACAATTCCTTCGATGAACTCTGCATCATTACTCCAGGCCACATGCCGTTTGGCAGAACCCTGTCCATAGTTCGCCATGTACCAGTAGCCTTTGAATACCTAGGCAACCAAAGTTTAAATCCCAGCATAACTAGCAATATAAAGCGGTGCAAACTATTTACGAAAATCACCAGATATATTAATAATACAGAGTGCCCGGACTCGATCCAGAAGCCACTGAAAGCATGGCATGTCGTCTAAGCACGACCCAGATGGCTGCTCCAGCAGCCAACGGCATCCCTTCATAGATACCATCAGAAGAATTAGAACAACTCTCGCCAAAAGCAAATTGCCATCCGAGACGAATTTGTACCCAGCATTCCCGAGGGGCTTGATGATAGTCCGTCCTGATGTGGCCCGGGACCTGCGCAGGAAGAAATGCTCATGATGTATATATGATGTGTGGCACAGTCCTCACTATAGTCCGAACCACACAGGGTTGTACATGAGACGAGGCACATTCCGCTGAAGCTGTTGCAACAGAGGCCAACAACGCAGACACCACCACTCTTCAGGCGACGAACTTCGTTGAGCGCAGCAGCAAAGCCACCATCAGTCGTCATATCAAGCGCAATGGGATTGCTCTTGATGTCCAAGGCCACCCCGACGTTACCATCCTAGCTTGGAAACTCAATCGTTGTACAAGACAAGAGTACGGATATATAGCTACGCAGACCACTATTATGTGCATGCAAGCGAGCTTCATCACGTAGGGCTCCGGTGACATGTCCCATGCCAGCGAAAAGCTCGACAAAGTTGTTGTCCTGCCGGAGGACAACCGGTGGTATGGGTTTAGGGGTAGTTGAGGTTCCAAGTAAATTCTCCAAAGCAACGTGGATCTACCACTGTTCATATTGTCATGCACAGGCTCATGACTAGCATAGAACATGCAGTGAGCCCTCCCGAGCCTCCTTTTGGTGAATGTCGGAATTGAAAGCCAACAGGAGGTTGGCTAAGCAGAGTCCCAGGGGTGCTCCCCATCTCAAGAGCTCTGCCACAACCATGTCCACGACAAAACTAAAAAACTAGCTGGCAGAGCCTAGCATGCTGGATCAGAGAAAACATGCAAGCACGAACAGTCCGCATAGCAACATGGTTGGTTTCGAACAGCAAACCGGCACGATTGCAAAAGGAGGCCCACTCGATTTCATGCTCGCCAAACACACAGAGTTGCACACGTACGTTGCACCATGCATGTATAAACAGCATGGTGCTGGCCAATTATAAGGCACTGCATAGCAAATTACGAAAAGAGAGCTTGGTGTCATGGGACAGGCCACACTCATACATGTCCGGTATCAGACTACCGACACTGTGCCAAGCCATTCGTTGGCCAGGCACACCTAGACCTAGAGCTTTCCGAGCAAGCACTTGTGCAGTTCAGTCGAACCTTCGGCGACTGAGCTCACTGGCAGATAAATTTTGCAACAGCTGGGATCTTTCATCGCTGAAATTCCAAGCCTGAAGGGCTTCCCAATAGGTAAGGTAGCCTTCCCGGGTGCATTCCTGGCAGTATTCCTTCTTCCGCTTGCGAAACTCACCCGGCACGTAAGCGCAATCCCCAGGAGCATCCATCTCAACCCTCACCTTGCCTGGGGCAGATTTAGCTTTAGCTTTGCTTTTAGCTTTGGCTTTCGGCATAGCTGGCTTCTTGTCGGACTCATCGGGCTCTCCATCATCCCCATCTTCATCGCACTCGCTCTCGTAGTCCTGCCCCTTCCACCTGAATATGTGGAGCTCAGAATCCAAACTGTGCCAGACAGCAGCAACGAACACAAAACATCCTGCCCAATAAATTATAAGCTATACCTAGACCCAGAATATAAGTTCTTGATACATATCTATGTGAACTCGTTTGGACCTCGTACTGTTAAGTGTAATTTTATGAATCGGGTCTGTCTGCAAATCCAAGCGACTGTGAGCTCGGCAGGAATGGCTTGGGGGGCTCCTTCGTCATGGCCTCGATGCTGCTCAGCACCTGATAATAGTCTGGTGGGTGGCAGTCATGGTTCAGGGTTTAGTTTGCAGTACATGCACGCATATACACACATAACACATCAGCTCCCTAGCCAGCAGTTCTGAGCAATCGTTTCACGACAAGGAACCGACGGTGGAACCACGAAGTTGTTTTGCATCTCTTCCGGGGTCTTCTTGAGCTTCTGCTGCTTCAAGCGTAAGAAGATAGCATTCAGCTTCTCAGTCGTTTTAGTTCGAACAGCATTGTCACTAGAACTGACAGCAGTAGAAACTTCCGAGTTTGCTTCTTCCATTGCAGCAGCTGCCACAGCGGAGGTGGAAGAAGTCAAGGAGAGCTTGCGATACTTCTGCACAAGGCTCCTCAGCTGCTGATATTGAAGCATAGAATAGCGATAGGAGCATCATCCTGATCACATGTGTGTGCATTGCTGAACAAGGATCTCAACACGCGAGCCGGCAGAACTAGCAGCAGTGGTAGTCGTAGCAGCAGTGGTAGCCGTAGCAGCACTGGTAGCCGTTGAGCTCGAGCGACTCACAACCTTACCATGATGTTAGTTCTAGTCAAACCCTGTTGCCAATATGTTAACACTGCACTCGGCATATGTATGTCATGGCAAGAAACTGTATCCGTAGCCATCACTTCAGACTCACAGTCACCCAACAGCTCGAGAGCCTCGATCTCCCGATCCGACCCTTCATCCGAAGCATCGTCACTTTCTTCAGCTCCAGATTCGGCATCCTGCGCGCACAAGGAAAGCAAACCTCAAAGCCACACATCCTGAAAGATCATGTATGTATTTTAAACACCGACTTTTGCAATCCTGCTTGGGAAGGAAATCAAGCAACTCAGCCTTGAGCTCCCCTATGGCTTTGTTGCGTGAAGTTCTGGCACGTTGTGCGAGGCGCTTGAACTTGGTTGCCTCGGCTGCTGTGGAGTGAGCATCTGGCAGTATAGCGACACAACAGTTTAGTTCCCCGCAAACCCCAAACATTCGAACCCCTATGTCAGATGAACGTAGTGAAATAGTCTGTGCATGCAATCTAGCTTCCAATTTCCGAATGGCGTTGCCCACCTTCAATGCCCAGTCTTGCACAGATGGAGCATTCACACTGATACCTCTTGGCACCAGTTTATTGCGGTGGTACCAGCAGCGCACAGCATCTGCTAGCAGATGCGCACTGTAACGTTTCCGGCCACGCTTGCTGCCACGTAGCACAGCAGCGATCACCTGATTTGCAAAAGAGACTTGGTACTTGGCTAGCTGGATCTTAGCGGCAATTGTGGTAAATTATCGACTATAATTCGGGAGTCTAATTAGTTCGAGACATAGCTAGTTAACATATTATAAGGGGCAGAACTATGATTTCGGAAGCTCAAGTTGAGTGGCTCAGGCAGGGATCTCGAGTGGGGTCTTGAGCGATTATAATAAGGTAAACCTTACCTACATATTTGGGCTGAAACCAGCCAGGCATATACTCCGGTCTAGAAGTTGAGGTGCACACAAATACTTGAAGCGTCTAAATTCTTAAGTCTAGACTGTATTGCGTATCGGTAACAGCTTGGTCGTGCATTAGCATTTCAGGGTCGTTTCCAGGCAAGTCAACCCTGGAAGTTACATATAGGAACTAGCGGATACAAATATTCAGGTGATTATTCTGCTTATTTCTATAGTGTAGGCACAGGAATATGTCTAGCAACCCAAGCCCCAAACCTGAAACTAGCAATGTCGACAACCCCCCCACTTCCCCCCGCAATACCTAATTCTCCTTCCATCCGGACAAGCCCTGCAAGCCCACTGCTGCCGATTCCGAAGAAACCGCTTAGCTATATGATGCATGGCACAGGAAGTAGCTGACTCAACCGTCTTTTGAACTCCAAACTTCCTGCACTAACCGCATGAAACTCCCTTTTATCCTGAGCCCTGGGCCTCGGCAATCTTGTCAACCCCATCCCGATATAGCAGGAGGTTTTAAAGTTGTCTGGTAACATAATACCACGGCTAACCTCAGTGGCTATAGTATATCCCCAACTCTAGCCGATCCTTTGGAGGCCTTGTGCTTGCTTAAGGCTCTACATACATATGCGCAGAAAGATAAATACTGTATTGATCTCATATATCTATCGGTTTATCTTTCCACCTATCTGCCTTACCTATCTAGCTCCCTATATTTATCAGTATCTGTGTCAAAATATCCATCCATATCTCCCGATCTAACTGTCAATCGTTATGTATATATATACACACATAAACCTCTATATATTAGTAGGTATATCTATATATGTGTATATATGCAGGTTTTGATTGCAAGACTTTGTGTCGATCTAGGACTTCCGGCTCGGCTTTAAGTTTGACCTATCCTGAAGCAAGAACCACATACATATTTTGTGTGAATGAACTTCAATTCTAATGCTCTCTTTTTCTTTACCTCTCTATCCTGGAATCAGAAAACCCTTATAACTCTTCAACTCCTGCTTAACTCTCTCTGTTTCACTCTTTCTTTCGATTTTGCATTCTCTGTCTTACACCCTCTCTCCCGACACTCTTAATGAAGCTCTTGGATTTTATTTTGGCATGTATTAAACCATGAATTCAACAAGGCATCTTTCAAGTTGGCACACTTCCACCCTGCCTCCTGAGGCCTGCCTCTCTGTCTCTCCTTATGGCTCTTTCTTGCTCTCTCTCTCTCTCTCTCTCTCTCTCTCTCTCTCTCTCTCTCTCTCGTCTCTCTCTCTCTTGAAAATATCTTTCTTTCTCCCTCTCTCCCTCTCTTTCCCCATCCCTAATGTACAATATGTAGAATTTTGATAACCCTGAACTCGAAATTCACAAACAAGCTGCTCTCGGGTTCAGCTCCACGTCCTTCCGATTCACCTGGCGCTTCTCCTTCATGAGCTGCCCGGAGCGATCGACGAGAAGATTGAAGCCGACCTTGGCCAGCCCCCAGATATGCTTGATGAATATCAAGTATGTCCCAGCAAACACCCGGTTTTCATGCGCGCATGCACTCATGCAGTTCATGTCGCGTATATATGAAAGGGAATGTACACACACATATACATTTCCTCAATCACAAACTCAAGAAGTTAACAATCGACACGAATTTAATTACGGTTTCAATCTGCAACAAAGTGGCATTCTGAAGCGAAGCTTCTTTCTCGAACTCAGCAGCCACAGCTTCCGCTTCTTCGGAAACTTCAGGGCACGGGTCCGACTCCTTGGCGGCGACATCCTTCTTCGTCATGCTGTGCCCACTATGGCACATCTGCTGTCTCAAAGCTCGAAAAGCTACTTGCTGGGCCCAAATTTAATATGACGGGTAGCATGTCACACCCGAATACACAGCACATGCCGAGCAAACAATTCGAGCATCTCGTCACCACCCTATAGAGGCAGAATCGCTCAACCAATCAATGCTGTGCTGATATCAGCTCACACAGAGTCACAGGATGCAAAGTGATGCAGAGCTAGGAGGGCACACCTGATCCTCCGGATTTGAAAACCTTCTTGATCTTGCTCTTGTACACCTGCATCAAACGGAGCTTTCTACTGCACGTGTCGAACATGTAATCTACAGAGCTTGAGTTTTGCATTCACATATATGCACATCACACATATATATATATATACGGTAATTGATTACCTTAATTTATTATATGGAATGAGCTCTTCGAAGAGCAGCCGAAAATTCTTTGTACATCATACACAGATGCAGCGCAGGCCTCGGGCATCGGATAACACAGACAGGCGAGCGCACATGGCTCACTTCATCTTGGCGCAATAAACCTTTAGCGATGGACCTGAGAAGTCCACACTTAATGACATCTCCGACTGACCAGATATAGCATCGGCAAATTAAGTGGGCCCAGATTTACTTCTCTCTGAAACACATACTACCTGCGTTCTAGAATAGCTTATAGATGTGCACATCCAACGATTTTTACTTGAGTAATGGCGTGTTCCACACACCTGTAGCTCATACACACTGCATGGTCTAACCATACATACTGATTCATGCAAGCATCCGCCGATTCGCGGCCCAGCTTCGACATGACATTCGCTTGCACACAAACACATTTGGAGCGCACGACTGGCAAAAGCACTGTGCGAACCTTCGCTCTGAACAGACCAAACGATTTGAGCATGAATCACATGCACGCACAGACCACTGCCCACATCAGCTTCAATCAGCTTGCATAATGCCTGTTATAGTAGATATGATATACATATAATTCTTTACATGAACTACCCTATATTGTGCCTAGTCTGAAATGCGTACACCGCCAACAACTTTGGCTGCAGGCGTCTGGAACTAGGAAATCATCATGAGCATCATGAAGCGCCTCTAATCATGAATCACCACTGAATTCAGATTTTCATGTGGAGCACCCCTTTACCAACACGTGTCACATACGCAAAAATCAAAAGACCTTGATTTTCAAGGCCATTTGACATGATCCACATTTTTGTGGCTTTTCATTTTGGTGCATAGCCCTCTTCTTTCAAGGTCATCTAGTCCCCAAGGTTTGCGACCCTCGACATCGTTCTTTTCTAGGGATGCAACGGGCTGAAGCCCTGACTCGCATACATGTGGCTGCAGGCGACAAGTTAAAGCTGATTCCGTATCTAGCCGCTCCCCCTATCACTGCTGGGTCAGTCTGGGGGTTGCTGCCTGACAACCTCAAAGCGACCATCGGTGAATTTGACTTGGTATCTCCATGTTACAAACGGTTGCCGATGGGTTGTAGCCATTCTGTTCACATTCTAATGATAACCAACCTGCAGGTCATAGGGCGGTCTCTGCGAGCGAATGCCTCGATGGGAACAAGCCAAGATGACATTCCGCATGTAGAAGAGCGAAGTACAGCGTTTGAAACATCAGGGTGTGATTATTCGTTCTATGGCTGCAGTGATGATGAATGGTGGTCTCGCTTTCAGGTTGGAGTTGGGCAGTGTTTCGATTCGGGTTACTCCGTGCAGGAGTGGTGGGATGCAATCCGCGCAGCGCGTTCATCCAGCGACCGCACGATTGTTGTCATGAACTTCTTCGGAGGGGAACGCAGAGACGGTGACGTGCAGGAATATGTCGAAAAGCTCGCCGCAGAGGCAAACCTCAAAGTGTTGATGATCACAGTTGACCTTGGTTGTGACTTTCGCTGGGATGTTGCGCAGCCGGAAACCTTTCATGAAATCATGCGTATGCTGGAAGGCTTGAAGGCTATGTTGACATCATCGTCGGGGGTCCGCCATGCTCAACGGTGTCTCGAGCCAGGCATCGCCGCGGAGGTGAGGCACTCAACCTTCCAAGACTGTTGCGGTTCCGTTCATGCCCATGGGGACGCACTGGTCTCACTACCGCTGAATCTGGACGACTCTGTGAGGCCAACCGGTTATGGTTACATTTCATGATGGCTAGTTTTCTCCGCGCGAGGAGGTTGCCACTTGTTTGAACATCCTGAGGACCCGCGGAGTGAGCCCTTCCGTTCCATTTGGATCACACCCGAGATGATCCAATTGGAACTGCTTACGAAATCACAGCCAGTCACTTTTGATCAGTGCGCTTGTGGGGCGCCCGTTAAGAAGGGTGCAACTGTGTCAGGAACACTGGGCGGCATTGCCGAGTTCGAGCGGTTTCAATGTCCGGGCGTTGGTCCAGAGCACTTTCATGCAGGGCATGCTACGGGGCTTGATGAGCACGGCTCTTTTCGGACAAGGCGGCTTCACGCGTACCTGCCAGCCATGTGTGAACTTCTGGCCAGGTGCATCGTGAAGAGTGCTCAGCGTATGGTGGCAGAAGGCTCAGGCCCCACTGGTTGCTTACTTCCGGTGGGGATCCAAGCAGTTGCAACGGCATGGTCCTTTTCACATTCGCGGAGATGCATTCGGCGGTGGTTGACATTCTCAATGGAACAGGTGGTTCATGGACGGCGCACACTGTTTTCCGCCACACAGGCAGGTGTCTATTAATTACACGTAGATGACACAGTAGCGTTCAGCACGGAGTCATGTAATTAGCTTGTCAGCTTCAAACATGATGCATACCGTTGCCGATTTTTTTTTCCGACTGCAAGAGGATCCGGTAGCTACGACAGTCCTACGGCATCACATTACTGCGTGCGGTCCCGGTTTAGGGCCGCAGGGGCAGGCGGCTGGGCGCCTCGTCAGCGGCGAGGTCGAGCACACGGTCCAGTGCTGGGTCATCGCCCGGCCCCGGCGCTGGGACGGCTGGCCACGCGCGACCCAAAGCCGTGCCTGCAACGGCGAGCTGGACTGCGACTGACAAGGCTCCCCACCAGCGTCGCGCCCACCCAGAGGACGCGGCGCGACGCAGTGCGGGCGGCGCACGGAGAGCTCGGAGGCGGACGAGGTCGCGGACGAAATGCTGCGCTGTTGCATTCCAGCGGCCTCCGATTTCCGAGCCCAGCACCAGTAGCTTCTGCGGGCCGCCCCTCGCGAGCTCCGGGTAGGTGCTTTGCTTGCGCCGCTCCGCGACCTTCAGCGCCGCCCCGTCCACTTCCAATGTGCATGGATGCGGGTGCCCTGTCCTCGTGAGGGGGGACACCAGTGTCGCGTCGCAGCACAGCGCCCCGCCATTGGCTGTGGCGCCGTAGACGACAAGGTCAAGGCGCCGACGGTCTTCGGTTGGGACGCCGGGAGCAGCTGTGTGGGCGAGCCACTGCTGTGGCACGACCTGGCCTTCGGGTCCTACGGCCTCGCGCGCCACGCCGACCCAGGCGCGCTCGACCACCTTCGCACGTCTGGCCAACAAGCCCGTCCGCGAGCAAGCTAGGGCATGGTCGCCTAAGGGGTCCATGGCTCCACCACATCCGGGGCTGGGGCCGCAGCGGCTGGGGCAAAGAGGCAGGGGCAGGCGAAGGCGTCGTCGCAACGCGATGAGCATGGCCTGTGGCGGGATGCTGGTTGCCTGGTCGCACGGCACAGCAGTGAGCCACGCTCCGGCATGCGGCCCTGCCTGGGAGCGGAGCAGTGCACGCGAACTGGGCGGCAAGGAAGGCAGAAGCACGCAATCGCGAGAGTGTACGGTAAGGGTCCGCGACGCGTGGTACTGCCAGCCGTGCGGCCAGTCCACGGCACCAGGGGCTGCAGGCGGGGCAGGACGGGCTCCTTCGAGGAGCACACGCCATGTTGGGCAATCGCTCCATCCTTGGTCCTGCAAGGTACGGCGTGCATTCGCTGCTTCTGCAAAGCAGTGCGCTCCACCTCCGGCGTCGGACTCGAGGAGGCGCGCATAAGTGGCCGCGCTTTAGGGCAGGCGCGCATTGATTGCAGGCAACGCATCCGCCCAGGAAGCCTAGTAGGCTGCAGGCGCTATCGCTTCAGCGGATAGCAACCCCAGCCCGCCCAGCGCACCTGGCAGGGCGGCGACCTGCCTCGCATGAGCGGCTTCCGCGTCGCCCATTCCGCCGAGCATGGCTTGCAGCGTGGCCCATATGGCATCATCATGTCCCCGCGCGTACGTCGCAGACGCCGAAGGGGGCATGGTGCGAAAAGCAACCATTAATGCTGGCATGCTGTGAGAGTTGCGGCATGGATTTTCTGAGAGGATTTTCTTTAACAGTGCCGGGTGGTGGAGATATGAGCTTCAAACTTCGGTGATGTGCTGCATCACAGCTCAACGTTGACACAACGACGAATGGCTTGCAAGTGCACCATGCCTCTTGCTGAATGCGAATATCGCCTCATGGATGGGCTCTGCGCAAATCACACCAGCAGGAGCCTTTTCAGTGTCAGAGCTGAGTGCGCAGCGATTCCTGTCTTTACACACGTGATGCTCAACCCCTGAGCATCGTTTCGTATTCCCCCTAAAGCCCCCATGTGCTCGAGCAACATCTCTTACCCAGAGTTTGCGACAAGACTACAACACTCCAACCATAACTCCGAAAAGCAACCCGAAACCTTAGCGAAAACCCTCTATGACTAAAGTGCAAGGCTCGAACCGTAAAACAAAGCTGACTCCAGTACCCTGAGATGGAGGGCTCAAGCGAAAAGTGACATCGCGGCTTCCTTGGCATCTGCTTGTGCAGAATGAGGAGCCTTTTTGGCAGCTCCCTGTTTCGGTGCTGCAGACTTCTTGGTGACACCCTGGCGCTTACCTTTAGCCGCCTTCAAGATCTGTTCAATCTTGGAGTGAGCTTGCTGACGCTGGTCGTCGGCGAGAAAATGGCCCCATGTGACAAACGCCTCCATCTGCTTCAAGTCGAGGTTTTCAACGGCCTCGGACTCCACAGCCTTCCACTTGAGCAACAGCGCGGCCTTGCCCACAGTCACTTCAGCGTTGTCCGGGACCACGAGAAGCCCCTCGTCGTCGTACTTGGTCTCGTGGCCTGCGACGTGGACGATGAAGCAGCTGTAAGAGTTGGAGACCTGCTTGAGGAAGTCTGACGCATTCTGGTCGATGGACACTGGCATGCCCTGCACGATCCGATCGAGCATCGAATGGGCAGCAACAATGATGCCCTGCGAACCCTGCGAAACGTAGCGGTAGAGGTCGGACTCCATGAGCTTCGTGCTGCACTGGATTGCCCGCTGGAGAGACATGAGTTTTGTCTGCGAAGGCACACACGTATCCATGTAGATGTCCTGCAGCCTCTTCCGCCCGCCTTCCCCGGCCAGATTGGCGAGAAAAGCAAGATCGATCCAAACATGCTTGTCAAGGGACAGCAAGCGCGCCCGCGATGCTTCCAACACCTCCTGGCGCAAAAACAACCCAGCAGTTGCTCGGTTCAGGGGCTACTATAAAAGCAAAGGACGAAAAGCTAGGGCCATGGACATCGGGAGAAAACTTCTGAGTTTCATAGGGCTCTAGGCTTAAGTTTATTTCGAATCCTTCGGGAGGGCCTTAGGGGACATTGTAAGTTGTTTTTACGTCAGCATCTACCACTACAACTGTTGTAAGGTTGTATGCTGCACTACTTTACGTTAGACTCATGTGAGACACCGATTGACCTAGACGCATCTCGCGGAAGGGGAGCCGGGCCTGGACGGACTCACCATTCTTGCAATCCTCGGCCTTGATCAAAGCCAGCGCCATGCTCCGCGATTCTTTGGCATGTTTGAACAGCTTTGCCTCGACCTTTGTGCCCTTCGCCACACGCGTGATCCCAGTGCACAGCTGGTCCTCAGCCGGCAAGCTTGGGATGTTGCCTGCCACTGCGGCAGCCCCCCGCAAGGCCGCCTGAAGTGCAAAGTCGAAGTGCTCCGCGGCGCAGGTCGTCTTAGCAGTGATGGCGCAGCCTCGGTAGGAGATGTTGACAGTCCTCCGCCCGCTCAAGACGTCGGCCTCTGCCAAACTCTCCACCTGGATCATCGCTGTGTTGCGAACTTCAGCGACAACCTCCGCCGTGATGGGGTTTCTGGTCAATGCCTTGTCCACCTGCTCTGCCACAAGCTTGTCCAAGCGAAGGCCAACCACTTGCCTAGCTGCGAAGCCGAAGAGCTGCTTCCCAAGCGCAGAACTTGTCGTGATCTCTGCGAGCTCTTCAGCGACATCCAACCATGATCCGTCAGGGCCCAGATCAAGAACCTTCTGAGTCGCGGCCTTGGGCAGCACAAGCGGCCACATCTCATCATGGTTGGAGAGCCAATCAACAGGTCCCAAGCCAGCTTTGGCATAGGACAGGAACGCCTTGCAAGCTACGGTGTCATGGCCAGAAACAGTTTTAAAATAGGTTGAGTGTTTAGCCGTGACTTTACAAGTTTGAGAGGCCGATTGCAGAAACTACGTTACAACTTGCGAGGTCGTAGACGGAAACGAATGTAAAACCGAAGAAGCGCACGGGATGCATAATGTTCGGGTTTATGGAATTCTTATTGGGTTTATCGGGCTTAGGGTACAAGCTTTCAAGTTACAAGGAGTGCAACTGAAACTTGAAGGCTTTGTGCACGTCCGAATATTTTACAGAAGTTGCCGCAAGGCAAGGTCTACTTCAGGACAGCTACGGGATTTTAGGGGTGCATACGCGGTGCAGCAAGCTTACAGACTATATATGGCTATGGAAGGCTACAGGGTATCCATTTTAGGCCAGGGACTTGCAAGAGAATCTCGTCAAACTTGTCCAGCATCAAGGCAGTCTCTTTGCCCGCTGACGCCTGGAGTTTGAGGCGTGCAGCGCAAGCCACAACGCACTTGCACGCCTCCAGCTGATCAGCAGAGCCGGCCGGATGCAAAGTCAAAGTCCACCTATAGATTCCGCAGATCTCCGCCTGATTCAAGCTCAAAGCTCGCTCCAGAAACTGCACCATGTGCGATCGGCATGGTGGGTGGCCCATCGCAGCAGTCGCTGCCCGCACCAAGGCCGGCTGCACCTCCAAAGCCGGATCCGGTTGAAGCTTCTGCTGCACACTCTGCTTGTCTGCGTACATGGCGCGAAGCCTAGTGTAGTAGTGCTTGCCAAACTGGATGCTGCCTGCCGCAGCGCTGGCCTGGGCTTTGTCGCGCTTGAGGCGCTGGCGACAGGTCAGACCCTCCACTAAGATTCCATCCAACTCTGTAGGAGTCATGGATCGAAGGTTGTCAGTGATGGCCTTCCGAACTTGACTGTCGACGTTCTGCGCCCTCTTGGGACGCGGCAGCTTCACACCCTCGGTCTCAGCCTGCCACGCAGCCGCAAGCTTGGAAGCTGCCCGCGGAGGAGTGCGCTCACGGGACTGGGACGACATGGCAAGTAGCTACCAAGACTGGGTTTTCCAACAGTTCACGTGCTACAAAAACCACGGATGCAACCTGTCTCACTGACACCAGGGCTGCGGAAGAGACGTATAGGGCACTCAACACATCCACGCAGATGCACTGAAGAAGCAGCATGTCGCAATCAATGTGTCGCTGGACGCTGTTGCAGAGGCCCTTCTCTGCAGCACGACCACTGCAACCGTTCAAACTTGCATGCGGTCCCTACAATGCAGTTAGAGGACGGAAACATCTTGCCTGGCGCAGCCCAGAACTCAGACTGGGTCCTACTTTGGGGAGTGGCAGGGCTGCAAAGCGCTCCTACTGACTCCAGGCCACAAAGTCGCGCCATTGAGAACTTTAGAGCAAGGTCTACAGGGGTCTCTGCTGCAACGTTCTATGTCGCTCTCGTGTGAACTGAAGGCAGGTAGAAGCATGAGGCTCACTAGCAACAGTTGAGGACTGCCGCTGCTACTACATGTCACTGCGAGGCGGCGAATTTTGCGGCGTAGTTTGCTGCGGAGTCCGCGGCGAAGTTTTGTCCCCAGTGACACGAGCGCTACCTGAAAATCCACGCCAAAATCCACCGTCTCGGCTTCTCTGCAACAATAGCAGCCTGCGGCCAGGGCTGTCCATGAGCAGTCAAAGGCTGAAAGCGCCAGCAGCGAAAAGATTGGAAACTGCATCTGGCACTGCTGCTTTGCCGCCGGCATGGCTCTCATCTAGCTCTGGGTGCCTTGGGAGCTAGCGCTAGAATCTTGCGGTACCTCTGCTGGACACGGCCCGTCGTTGTAGACAAGACTGTCTCCAAGTCGGGCGCAGGCACGTAGTCCGTGAGCCTGTCCGCAGGGATCCCGTGGTCTGGCCTTCCGAGGTCCTCCCACAGCTGCATCAGGAACGACATTCGATGGATGAACAGCTTCCCTAATGCCTGTCCCGGTTCGTCCCCGTAGACGGACTGCTCGAAGCCTGCAGACTTCGCCAGAGAGAACTTGGCGCAGAATTCCGCCATCGAGGAACCAGCTTTGACATCTATCCTAACGCCATACACCACCCGCCCGGTGCGACGAAGCTGCCAGTCTCCGCCTATGAGGCTGGTGCGAAACTGATCCGCCAAGGTCTCGAAAGCCGCATTGATCACACACCGCTGCTCTTCCAGTTGCTCGAAGAGGTCGTCATACTGGATGTCCTCAGAGCTAAAATCTGCATCATCTGTGCCTTCGCAGTCAAACGTCGCATGCGATTGGGCAGACTTGTCAGGATCCTCAGGTGCGGAGTCGCAAGAAGCCCGCTTTCTTTTCGAGGCGGCAGCTGTGCCCACAAAAGTCTACTGCGCTGTCAATTAACAATCTGGCTCTGCCACCACGGATTTCCGCGATGGCTCACTGCGTTCCTTGGCAACCTTCTTCTCGGAAGCAGCAGCGTCCAGAATCAAGTCTAAGGGTTGAAGGACATCACGACTGCATAAAGAGCCCTCCGAGGAAAACCAGCTGTGGAGGAAAACCCCAATCTGGACATTGGGAGACACGTCAAACACTTCTGCTGATGAAAACCGTCCAGGCAAAAAGGACCATTGCCAAGGCACCGAAGCCTGCCACTGTTGATTGAAGCACGGAGGGCCAGAAGTCACTGCAGGCACAGGGCATTCAAGGTCACCCAAATCCAGCAGGAAAAGCCGAACAGGGTTGAGCATAGCAAAGAGAAACCTGTAGAATCGCGATCCTTGCGGATGCTCGACAAGGAAAACAGACTGCGCAAAGTGATCCCTCATCTGGCAAATGCGCCGCGCCGTTGCAGGCATCTCCGTCGGCCTGTCGCGACGGAGTTGCGAATGGCCCAGACAACTGTCCAAGTCCTGGTCAGGGACAGGCGGCGGGCACTGCAGAGACTTCGCGCGCAGTTTCTCTACGGACTTCTCTGTGAGCTTGGAGTCGTCGATCATGCTCTGCAGTCTGCATTGCTCAGACGTGCTCAAGCGGCATTGTGAAATTAGCATGGAACTGCCAGGTGCCTTAGAATCAGAACCAGAACCTGCTTCGCTAAGCAAACCCAACTGCTGCTTGAGATTGTCGCACTCCTTCTGCCGAGACTGCCACGTGGCACTTCTCTCAAACGCAGCTTGTCGATCCCACGATGCCTTGGACTCTTCAGGGAGTGAAGTCCACTGCTGCCCGTGTAGCTTCATGATCTTTGCTCGGTTGTACCTGGGCTGCTTTGGGTCGGAGGCCTCCTTCTCCCGCGCTTTTTGCATGACATGGGCAAGGTACACCTGCCTGCCGGTTCTTATCCAAAGTCCGGCAAAGCTTCTGCAAAACTTGTTGTCGCCGCTGGTCGCAAGCAGAAGACGATGGAAGCATCTGAGCAAACGTGTGTATGAAAGCTCTCGCTGTCAAATGATTGTCCCCGTAATCTGGGTGGCGCTTCTTTACAACGCTGGTTGACCCGTGCTGCTTCTCTGTGAAGGCACTGGTCCAAGAGCACTGGCCTAGCAGCTGCACCGCGCGCGCTAAGCGAGTGCGGTTGTAACCGGCCTGACCCAAAGCCCAGATCTTGAATGCAATTCCAGTGTCTGGAGGCTCGGCTTGTTGAAGCAATTCGTCCACATTGGCCTCCACACTGCCGGAACACAGACGCCACGGAAGCGAACTGGCGACAAGAAGGACCCTCCACTCCAGGAAGCTCCACGAAATCAGAGCTCCAGCTATCACTCCAGATCTTACGGCTTGCGACGTCATCTGCACTGGGCCAGACAACATGTCCCAAAATTGCTGCGGCAGAACATCCAAAAATAGAAACTCATTCCAAAGAACTTCTTGCAAGGATTGCTGCGTCTGGGCCACTCGAGAATCCTTCAGTACTTTGGCCAAGAAACTGTCAGAAACGTAGGAAGACAGCCCAACAACAGCGGCGAAGTGCCACACTTTGGCATCCAGGCGTTTGCAGCCGTGCCATTCGTAATCTCCTAGCTTGCCGGCAGTGTGTAGCCATTGCAAAAAAGCTGGATAACCGGTGACCAATCCGGATAGCAAGCCTCTGCAGGAGGCGCCGACTGTGCACCACCTGGATGTGGTGAACGCCGGCGGGCGCCATACACTCAGCAGGCATGTGGAAATGGCCTCGAGCCAGTTGCTGTCGTCGAGAACACTGTGGAGCACAACCAAAGTCCCACCCAACCAGAAAAGTTGCATCTCAGACAACAACTTGGCGATGTCTTGGTCTATGCCCAGTGCACACCACAGCAGAAAAAGATCACTGACGGCAGGTAGTTCATCCTGCCGCTTTGGGCTAAGCACTTGCACCAACCAGTCCGCCAAGTGCGAGGCGGCGTGGTGGAAGCACGCTCGCATGGCCATAACACCGACATAGCAGCTTTCCAACAAGAAGGAATCATTGAACAATCCTTGATGACCCCACTTGCAGCTGTTGTGCCCATCATGGGCCGCGCATGCCGTCCAGGAATGCCATTCAAAGAGCTTCTCGTCGTCGGAATCAGCGGCTGCAGGACCCGCTGCTGCTTCTGACACACCAACTTGCTTGGACCACCAACCAGAGAGGCTTCCAACAAAGTCGAAAGTTACGGCACGGTCGTGGCACTGATGGTGAATGCTAATCACATCCGGCCCAACGCCGTTGAGGGACAAGCCTGGGCAAGTACATGCTGCTGAAAACAGCGCCTTCATTGTCTTGCCGTAAGCCAAGGGCAAAGGCTCCCGAAACAGAATCGTGCAATGATAGCCATTGTCATGCGACGGAATATACAAAAACATTTGCTGAACAAAATAGTCGGATGAGCTCTTGCAAGTTCGCTGCACCTTGATGCTCCCATGTTGTCGTGTCAAGTATTTCCTCGAAGATACAGGTGTTGTATCGCAGGAATACTGGAAAAGGCAAGGTTGGCCCGCGTTGTTCTGGAGGAGTTCGACAGCACGCTCTTGTCGTGTCCAAGGCGGCTCGCGCGCGACACGGCTGTGTGATAACATACAGGTCATCCAGAAAAGCGACGAGGCTGTCGTCTGGGTGAAGCGCCGCTGCCGCCTGTTGGAGAGCATCGTGCTGTCCCAGTGCGAAAAGCGCGGGAGCGAGGGCGTCCCCTTGCTCGCACCCTTCACCCTGAGGGACATCCCGGCAGCGGCCAGCGGAGTCCCACCAGCAGTAGCTGGAGGGGCTCCCGTAAAACAGGCGCACGAAGGGGAGCAACTCCGGCGCCACCTCGCGGAGTTTGCCGAGAAAGGCCGCCCGCGACATGCTGTCGTAGGCGCTGCGGCCGTCCAGCGACACCAGCACGGCGCCTCTGCGTGTCGCGAGGGCGGCACGCACGTGGGTTGCGAGGGCGTCTGTTCCAGCTCGCGCTTGCAACGCAAATTGGAATGGCCGCGTTGCCTGGTCGAACTTATCGGCCCACTCCCTGGCAAGCGCTTTCGAAACCAGACGGCGGAACATGTCGCCCGTAGCGATTCCACGCACGCCCCCGTCGGGCTTGCGCAAAGCGGTCAGGCGAGCCATGGCGAGTGCCTTGCACACGTCAGCTGGCACGCGAGCCTGCGCGAGAAGCGTGGAGGCTTCCGCCAGAAGCTCGATGGCCTCACCATCCTGCAGTAAAAGCTTCAAGTGTTCCGCTCGCATGCCCGAGAGGCCGGGAGCCCCGCCACGACGTGCGGAGCGGAGGGCGGCGGCGATTGCTCGCGTGCTGAGGTGCACCGGCTGGGACGGTTGGTGCTGAAGGACGTCCTGAGCGATTGCGGTCCGTGGGAGGACGGCGTGCGGGGTCGGTCAAAGCGGCCCACGTAGCCTCGTTTCCGGGGGCCAGGTCGCAAGCAGTAAGCACCTGACGTGCGCGTGAAAGTTCGCCCTTTCGCACCTTCGCGCATGCCTGGTGCCGCTTGCGTTCGGCGATCTCGTTGGGGGGCAGTGTCGGGCTGTCGCGTGTTGGTCGGCTGACTCGGCGTGCCGCTTGTATCAGCTGGAGCCACTCCCCTTGCTGAAATGCTGCGGCCCGTCCCAGCAACTCGGCACGACCCTGCGAGCCTTGTTGCTCGGTGCGCGCAAGCAGCATGCGGGGTGCGAGGAGGAACAGCTTCCACGCCCTGGCAGCATCTGTGCCGTCGGGGTCGATGCTGGCAGCGCGTAGGCGTTGGAGTGCCTGCACGAGTGCTCCCCGCACCGCTGCACGCATGAAAGGAGGCGTATCTTGCAGCGTTGGAGCTGGGTGGCGCAGTTCGTCAACGAGGTCGACGCCATCCAAAGCCCTCCACGCCTCGGCGTCGGCCTCGGCAACTCGGCCCGGGCAGACTGGGACCGATTGGCAGTCGTCATTAACGTCATTCGCCGGCTCGGCGTCAGCGGGCCGTGGCTCGCGGGGACGGTCGCGTGTGGAACGAGCGCGGCGTCCCCGTCTGGAACGTCTGGGGGGCGGACGCGCATCGTCGTCGGGGCAAGCACGCCGCACGTCCTCTGCCAAAGATTGAGCTGCCGAAGCGATTGCGACCCCCCCGTACGTCTGGAGAAGGGCCACTTGTGCTGCAGCGGGGACGTAACCTTGTGCATTCATGCAGAGGGCGAGTGCGCTTGGTAGTGGCACAGGCGCCGGCGGCATAGCGGTCAGCGCTTCAGCCGACGCAACGTCGGCCGCGGCCGCTCCGTGAGCCGGGTCGCGGTCGATGCAGGCTAGCTCGGCGTGCAAGAAACGGAGGATGGTGGATGGCAGTGCGGGGGCCGCTCTCCGTAAGGCTCCCGCCAGCTCAGCGAAGCGCGTGCCGATGCGGGGTGGGATTGCCAAGCCTGCGTAGCTGCCGGTGTCATTGCGCCGGCACCGGCGTGGAGCAGTGGTACGAACAGCCACGAACACGTCTCGCCAGCACAGCGGCTCGCGGGCAGGGGCTGGCAGCAGCGTCGGCGATGCAGGTGGCGTGAACCCTGGAGTGGCGTCGCCTGCTTCGCCCGGCGCCGCTTCCCCCGCGACACCGGGTGATGCTTCACGCTCCAGCTCGCGAGGCGACGCGAACGGCGTCTGTTCGCTGAGCGTGTCGCACGCCGTTTCTGCATCGGACGTAGCACCCGCGTCTGGCCGACGGAGGCCCATTTGCTCCAGCGCATGGAGAGCACGATGGCGTCGCTGGTTGGTGGTGTCGTCTCCCGGGCCTGGGTTGGTCGCCTCGCCGATTCGTTGACCGTTGCAAGGGTGCGGCGGGGACGCCCTGGAACAAAGGAGGACAGTGGCTCGTGCGTTTTCGGCTCCTGCAAGCGGGGCTCGAGTGCATGACAGCCAGGAACTGCGCTCGCCGGGCGCTGAGCTCGGCGGGCGAGCATCCTGCCATGGTAGTGGCGCGACGCCGCTGGCAGGAGGCACGACCTGCCGAGCATCGTAGCCGGTGCATGCTCCGCCCTGATCCGTCACCGGCGGTGTTGATGGCGGCGTGAAGCCCCGTGTCGCCTCTCCTGCTGCGTCTGGTGCCATCGCGCCCGTGAGCGCATCTGGAGCCTCTCCACGTGGTGACGCGAAAGGAGTGATCGTGCTCAACAAGTCCGACAGGGTCTCGGCAGCATCGAGGTCCGCTTGGCGGTCGCGCAGTGCGGCCGGGCGGGTACTGGGGAGCAACTGCATTTGGGCAAGCGCATGCATGGCTCGTTCTCGGCGTTGCGCAACGGCAGCGCCGCATGGCGGGCCCGGGTGGGCAGCTTCCCCAACTCGCCTGCCATGGCAGGGGTGAGGCGTCAGCTTTGTGGACGCTGGTGCCGCCCGGTCGTGCGTCGGCGCGCGGGTCGCTGGGCCGCACCATCGGCGACCGCATCGTCGGCGAGAAGGTGAGCCAGCAAAGAGGCCGACGTGCGACCTGATGCCTGCGAGAGTTCGTCCAACGCCGTCTCGCCGCCTTGCAGTATGTACTGCAACACCTCGTGCCGGTGCGGGTCCTGGGTGCGGGCCGCGAGCTCGCACATCAGGGCCTCCCAGTTTGACGGGGTGTGTGGCGATGGGCGACCGCCCGCTAGCGCGACGACCGCACTCACAGCTCGCCGGGAAAGAAGGTCGATGAGCACGCCCACGACAAGCCAACCCCACCCGAGAGCGAGAGGCCCAAAGCCCGGGGTGAAGTACCGGGGCGTCGCTCCGCTGCAAGTAAGGGCTGCGTGAGCCATGCTTTCCCTGCACGTCGGCGGCAAGGACGCGGCCCACCATACAGCCGACGAAGCCGCCGAGTAAGCACCGGCGCATGCCGATTCCATTGAAGAGATAGGTTTTGTAGTGTCGGAAAAAAATACCGCCCAATGAAGTGGTCAAGGTGATCGGGTACGCATGGTCGCCAAATACAAGCACATTCAGCTTGCCTCCGGGAAAGAGGGTTTTACTACAGCGAGCTTTGCGAGCGTTGGCAGGGCAACGTCGTGTTGGGGTTGCTGTCTTTCGAGCCATGATTGGTCTTTGGTCTTTCGGAGCACAGCTGAGGCGCGACCTGTACGCAATCCCTTTCATAGTATACAACTTCATTGACAAGTTTGATGGCTTAACGGCCAAGCTTTGGCCGTCGGTCCGCCAAGAACTCTTACACATGGCCACTGCAGTTGATTTCATGTGTTTGCATGTGGGCGTGCAATTTTCTTCGGAAGTTCTAGCAACGGATGCCATGGGACACAATGAAATTGACCATGGGGGTTTCGGCATTTGCGTGACCAATGTTGATGAATCTGGGTTAGCAGCACTTCGGGCAAACTCAGAGCGGCTGGGACTCGCACGGAACTTACATGACGGTGTGACTGATGGTATGCCATGCCCTTTCCTGATAGAGCATTAACTCCTACAATCCCGTTCTCGTTGCTTCCAGCTGCTTTATTTTCCGAGTCCAGATGGACTGTGGTTTTGCAGGGTCGGTAGAACGCCCCCGACCCCATTAGCATTGGCGAGACGCGAGCAGCTCTTCGTTGGGTCACTTCCGATCCCGCACGTCATGGCACAAATTGGTATTCGTTGCAACACAATATGGTGTGTAAAGCTGTGCTTACTACAGGAAGGTCTTCTTCGTGGAGCCTTAACGTGTATTGTAGGAAAGAAGCTGCTTTGTGTTTGGCATCGCAGATTCGCTTGTTGTTGCCTTTGGTGCAGACATCCACTATGCCCGTGGACGGCGCTTCAAGGAATCAAGAATGAGTGGAGGTCAATTTGTTTTCGCATGCCCCCCTCGTGAACTGGATCCACACCATATTGCTTCAGTCATGGCGTCTACATACAGCAGTTATCAGCAATGCTTGCATCGATTTGTGATTTTCCTTCTCGACTCTGGTGCAAATCCAGCTTCGGCTGCAGAACTGGACCTCCTGATTTTGCAGTATAAATCTTCCAACCACCTGTCGCATTCACAACTGGTAAACCCGATCAGACACACGTCGCCCTTGCTTTCAGGTCCAGCAAAATTGTTTGCAGTACACTTTGTGGCAGTTGGATTTCTTTTCTTGGGACTGGGCCTTGTGGCACAGTGCCTCACAGGTCTACGCCCTAGTGAGTTGCTGAGGCTGCATGAACAAGATGTTTTACGGCCTTCTGCGTCGTGCCCTACATTCATATTTCGTTTGGGAGTGGGATTGGGCACTAAAGTTCGGCGCGAGCAAGTTGCGTCTTTTGAGTGTGCACGCGATCGTGTGGTGGCTGGTGAACTTTGGCAGTTGTTGCAAGAAGTGAGCCACAAACTGCTTTGTTCCCAGTTTCGTATGCGCAGTATCGCCAACTCCTGGCCCAAGTGCTTGGAAGTTCATGTCACTTCGCCGTCTCCACGCGCAGGTTTTGCGACTGAGGAATATTCCAGGGATTGCCACGTCGCGGACATTCGACAAAGGGAACGGTGGGCATCCGAACAGTCGTTTAAAACCTACCTCGACGTCGTGTCGGCCGCGCACATGCAAGCAGCTTTCCATTTGCGAGGCGTGGGGCGAGCCCAGGCCTACAGTGAGACGCATTTTGCTGATTTGTTTCCTTCTGGAGTTTTCCGGTCGCGAGATGGCTGAGCAAGTGTTGGATTTTGACGGCTTCGAAATCCAGCTGTCCCGACGCTTCAATGTCTTCCACAGGCTATGCTCCTTCCCTCACGTCGCGGCCGGCACGCCCAACCATCTATTCGTCATACCAGGGCACGGACGCCCGGGCCTGACAAACTCGGGCAAATTTCGCAACGACCATCTTCGGCGAGGCGTGTCACATCCTCTCATGAGGCACCTACGGCAACGCCCGGTGCCTTTCCGCCCTCCTCGAGCAAGGAGACGCCCCCCTTCCACCCACCAGCCTCAGCACTGCCCAACTCGCTCAGCGGTTCGGCGGGCTCGGTCTCCGCTCCGCCAGCGCTGACCGCTATGCAGCGCACTGGGCTTCCTGGTGTGACACCTTGCCCGTCATCCAAGCCAGGGCGCCTGCTGCGGCCGCCCGTCTCCACGCTGCCCTACAAGGCGACGGGGCCTTGCCCTCGGCCGCCGCAGCAATCCATGCCCAGACCCAGCTGCGCCATGTTGGTTACGAGGCGCCAGAATGGGCCGCCCTCTGCTCCGGCGCCGTCCCCCCCACCCCTGACCGTGCTGACAGTCTCTGACGACCCCTGGCCGTTCCGGGGATGGCAGCGCGTCGCTGCCCGTGCGTGCGATGAGCGCGCGTACGAGACGCATCTTGCTGACCTCACTCCTGCGTCTCGTGCGCTGCTGCTCTCGCAGGCAGGGCAATTCGCCTCCCGCGCCCTCAACGTTCTGCCCACCCGCGATGACGTCGCCATCCCCAGCGCGCAGTTCCGTGTCCTCTTGCTGCGGCGCTTGCGCCTCCCCCTCCCGCTCGCACCGCGCAGATGCAGCTGCCACGGTGTACTCGACCCGCTCGGCGACCACCGCACCGCCTGTGCGACGTCGGGCGTGCTCGCCACTCGCGCATTGCCCTTGGAGCATGCCGTCGCGCGCGTCTGCCGTGAAGCTGGCGCGCGGGTCGCACGCCACGTGCGGCTCGCAGACATGAACCTTGATGTTCCTGTCTCTGACGAGCGGCGCATCGAAGTTGTGGCGAACGGCTTGCCCCTCTGGCATGGCTCTCAACTCGCCGTCGATGCGACCATCGTCTCCCCCCTCACCAGACGCGGCGAGGCCCACCCGCACGCCGACGTCCAGCCGGGCTGCGCGGTCGCCGCCGCCGCGCGCCGCAAGCGCACCCAAACCTACCCGGAGTTGGACCGAGGGCGCCGCTGTCGGCTAGTCGTCGTTGGCGGCAGGTTTGGTACCGAAGCCGTACAATTCCTGCGCCTCCTCGCTAGCCATCGGGCAGCGTCGGTGCCGGCCCACCTGCGGTCCGCCGCAGTCGCCTCCTGGGTCGCTCGCTGGTCCGGACTGTTGGCTGTCGCTGCCCAGCGCGCCTACGCAGCCACGCTCCTCGAGCTCCCCCCTGCCGCCGAGCTCGGCGACGGGCCCATGCCTGCCTTGCATGAGGTCCTTGCCGATGCGCGCTGGGGGTGAAGGCGCGCAGTCCCCCTTCCCCAAGCTCCCTTCACCCGTAGTGCGCAGGTAGCACAGGGACCCGGACGTCTCGTTTAGCAGTCGTCAAAAAAAAAAAACCTCGTCTTCGTCCTCACCGAGCTCTCGCCTGGGTCGGTGGTGGACGCGGCTTTCAAGGTTCAGCAGGCATAGTGCTTTCTGGATCTGTATGCTGCTTCTCCTGGCTCAGTGCTTTCAGTCGGGCTTCTTCGAACAGCTAACTCGCTTGTGGGCCTCCGTGGCTTTGGTCTCAGAGCGGGCCTCGGTAGCAGCAGCAGGGTCGCGCGAAGACTTCCAAACTAGTGGCCCAAGAGTTCTTCGGTCTTCCACAGGATGCCATGCGAAAGCACGTTTCACCCAACGCGTGTTTGGAAGATTGATAATTAACATACATCGCCAGGTTCCAATGTTGCCTCAAGCAATTAGTGGAACACCTCGCCCAAACAGCAGGAATTAGCCAGCACATTCCAGTGATGCAACACATCATGCCATGGATCGTCCCACCGGGTATCGGGTGGTGCACCAGCAATTTGATGCAAATGTTTGCGGAAATGAACGTCAATTCGATTCACGAAGGATATGGCGATTTGCATGAGAAGCACGCGAGGCAAACGGCAAGTGAAAATCTATATGACATTCGTGAGACACCAAGCATCCCAGCCAACGATGTGTTGTGCCACCCAAAAATTCTCCACAGTCAGTCCGCCAGGAGTCGTTAGCTGTGGTGGAGCTCGAGCTTCCGTCGTAATGATTTGTGTCTGTTTTTTGGGTTGAAATAAGCCCGACGTCTACTCCACAAATTCAAATCCAGCAGTGCTATTTGCTCAGTTCGCTTCAGCCATCGAGATCGATTCCATAGCCCCGAAGATATTTTAGCACATTACCGGACACATGACGTCCTGATGAGGACAGCGAACAAATTTTGTGCATCAATGAGGATGTTTGCAAGGCAATTGATGGTTTGGTTGCAGAATCGGAGTAGGGACATGCAGGCGTCCACAGAGGCGTCACCCTCGTAAGAATGCAGCCGATGATGTGGACATGCAACCCATGTACGTAAGTTTGCATGTTGTCACCAAACAATATGTGCAAAGTATTCGCGATGAGACTTGTTTCCAAAATTGTTTGGTTGAGCTGGACAGCGGCACGCATGACATTGTATTGTTGACGGAGACTTGGCGATCTGAAACGGAAGAAGTTTTCTCGACACCAGGTCATGGCAAGATATGTTTGAGCGGCGGCCTTGCTCACCGTGATGACGGCATTTATGTTTCACGGCAGTTTTCGGCATTCATGGAGAAGCCGCGTTTTCATATCATGCCTTTAATGTTTCTCACCGCTTATGCATGTTACAGTTTTCACGGCAGAGACGCATGCTTCATGTTTACGCTTGCTATTTTGCAACATCATAGGACAAGCGATGATGGTGTAGAGCAGGGTCATGATGTTTTGGATGCGTTGTTATTGCATATACCCAAGCAGCTATCGCATTTCATTGATAGGTGGTGATTTCAATGCCAACGTATGGGTATTGGCTACACATGACATTTTCCAACTTCTGGGTGTTTGGGGAAGTGGAACCAGGAACGGTAAAGCAGCCCCACAATGCCACATCGGTCGTGTATCGCCACTAAACCGAGCAGACCTCAAGTGATTGTAGAGGTAGAGGTGCACGAGTCGCAGGAAGAAACATATCTCTGCAAAGGACATCACGTCGGAAAGTTTGCAATTCGCGA